TAGTAGAAAGATAAAAACAGGGGTGCCTGGATGGCTCAGTCAGTTGAGCATCCAACTTTGCCTCAGGTCATGATCTTAAGGTTCGCAAGTTCGAGCCCCACATTGGGCGTTCTGCTGTCAGCACAGAGGTGTCCCTCTCTCACCGCCCCTCCCCCCAAAAATAAATAAATATTAAAAAAAAAACAACAGAAAAACAGATCTTAGAAAATGGGGCAAAAGAGCAGTCAGATCCAGGAACCAGGCATATGCTTGGACATAATAAGATAAGCCACAGGGGGCAGGATACCAGAGCTAAAATAAAAGCATAAGAAGACCTGGATAACTAGTTATGTAAAAGTTTGGGCAATAAATACGCAAGTAAGTAAATAAATAACTGTTTCGGTATTTACATATGGTAATGGTTTGAGGAATCATGTGGTCTTCACAAAAAAACCGATAGTAGATATAGCAAATGATCCCTTCTTGACTCTTCAAAAACTAAACATTGGGATCTTACTCGCTTTTTCCAAGGTCACACAGCCCTGGGTAGCTTTGCTAATAGCCAGCTGTGTTACCCCACATGTTTACTTCTTTTGCCCAGTTTCCCCATTAATAAGATTGTGATAAAAACTGCACCTAACTCCTAGGGTAAGAAATAAATGCTTATAAAACACTTAACATGGTGTTTGGCACATGGTAAATACTAATGAGTGCTGGGTGGTGGTGGTGTTTCTCTGAGAGCCACAACTTGAATAACTTGACATTCAGCAAATTTTATTTTCTACAGTACTATATTGCATCTTTTATTTTTTTTTATTAATTTTTAATGGGATTTTTTATTTTCTTATTTTTTTTACAAATAGTTTATTGTCAAGTTGGTTTCCATATAATACCCAGTGCTCATCCCCACAAGTGCCCTCCTCCATGCCCATCTCCCTCCTCCCTCCCCACACCCATCAGTCCTCAGTTTGTTCTCAGCATTCAAGAGTCTTTCATGGTTTGCCTCTCTCCCTCTCCCCCACTATTTTCCCCCTTCGTCTCCCCTTGGTCTAGCCATGATACTAGAACTGTGTTATATACTTTATGTATTTTATATACGTGTTGTGTTTTATTTATGATACCTGTAGTGACAGCTTCTTTCAGTATTTGCATTTTTCTAAACATACCTTCAGCAGATACACAGTCACATGTGTTACAATAAATTTTCTGTAGTCTCTATGTAGTTAGTTTTCTCATCCAGAAGATATAATTTAAAAAAAAAATTACCTGTGACTTCCAGGAGTATTTCTAACTGTTTTGGCTGTAGTGCAGAAATTTGATTCTCGCTTCAGACTCCCATTATAGGACATCCTTGACATTTCCTGCATCTGTCATTCTCTGATTGGTTCGTGTTTACATAAACTATCCTAAGGTCTTAAACAACTTTATTTGGTGTTAAATTAGCAGATTTTCATTCTAATTCAAACTGATAGTGCTTGAATATTCAAACCCATCAAGCAGAAAGTATTTTTGCATAGTCCCAGGATATCTAACTTCTGGGATGTGGATGCATATTTCCAAAACAAGTCTGATTTTGGGTCAATGTCTTATGCTTAATTGGAACTTGTTTCTGTTGTGTTAACTCTAACCTTGGAGAATGTAATCTCTAGCTTTTTACCTCGTGGTTTGATTCTTTTTTCAGGCCTCTGAATCAGATCCTTATAGTAACTCCTATTTATACTCCCTGGTAACTCACTGTTTTGCTTTGGAGAGGTCAAAGGGGGCTCAGATCTGTTGGCCTTTTTCAATATTGCCTTGAATGCATTTTTCTTGGTATTTCTTGTAGTTTTTTCTAATATAGAATTCTGGTGTTGCCTTTGTCTCTTCATAAGGCATGAGGCTTTTTTAGCTCCTTTTCTTAGGTTTACTGAAATTTCTTCAACCCAAGTAGGAAGAGAAGAAAATTGATTACTGTCTAAATTGTGTGTATCTTAGTGCATAAATGTATATGTAAGAGGAAAATATGAGCCTCAGTGAGTTTTAAGTTAAGATAATGGGGCCAGCCCTTCTTAGCCATGTGACCTTTGGATATATTTAACTTTCTCACTATCAGCTTCATCATCTGTAAAGAGGATTACTGATACGTATCTCATAAAATTGTTCTGATTTTTAATTTAAGAATTTCTAGCACAAAGAGGATGATCAGAAATGATATCCCTCCCTAGGGAACAGGTTTTAGTTAGTGAAGAAATGGCTTATCTATTTAGAAATAGGGAGCACAATTTATCCTACTCTAGTAGGATAGTACAGTAACTTATTCTTTGAAACCAGTATACTTTGAAAAAGCTACAAATGTGTTGTGCCAATGGTGGTATTATTTTACTTGGACTCTAGTGTGTTGACATGTAGTCATAAAATTTGCTACATGTTGATGTAGGCAGTTAAGTTACGTGCCAAATGGATTTTAGTAGTTGATGTTCAACTTACTCAAAGCTAAAGGATTTAAAATGGTTCTCTAGCCACTAGTTCAAGTTGAAAGCATCTCAGGCATGTTTTTACCAGAGAGGATATAGCAGATATTTAGTTAGCTTTTATGAGAATCGCTTGCTATGATTTTCTTTCCTCAGGCGTTGTGTACTTTTTTATCGATATTCAGGTAGTATTAAGTAGTGCCTCATGATTATCCAAGAATTCCAGTGGCAAGGGGCACAGTGTCCTAATATGTAACTGACAGTTTTTTACTTACTTAGTTGTAGTTTATGTGAAAAGTATTAAAATATAGTCTTGGATCCAGTTTGATCTTTCAGTGGAAATGTTTCAGGTACATGTACTAAGTTCTGTATTTTGTATATTTATTTTGAGTGTCCACTTCCCCTAGATAAACAAACTAATTTAGGGGCACCTGAGTGGCTCAACTGTTTAAGCATATGACTCTTGATTTCAGCTTAGGTCATGATGTCACAGTTTCTGAGATCAAGCCCCACTTCTGGCTCTAGGCTGTTAGCGTAGAGCCTGCTTAGGATTCTGTCTCCCTCTCTCTCTCTTCCCCTCCCCTACTTGCTCTCTCTCTCTCTCTCTCTCTCTCTCTCTAAAATAAATAAGTAAACATGTTTTAAAAAAAATCAGGCAGGGCACCTGGGTGGCTCAGTCATTTGAGCAGCCAGATTTGGCCTAGGTCATCATGATCTCACGGCTCATGGGTTCGAGCCCTACATCAGGCTCTGTGCTGACCACTCAGAGCCTAGAGCCTGCTTCGAATTCTGTGTCTCCCTCTCTCTCTCTCTGCCCTTCCCCCACTTGCTCTCTCTTTCTCTCTGTCAAAAATAAATAAACTTTTTTTCTTAATAAAAAAAAATCAGGAGTAGAGAATTAATGTAAAAAATTCTTTAAGTACCAGTTATTTTTCTTAATGGAATACTACTATCAGAGTAAGTCTTCTGCTTTAGCTCTGTTGGTTATGTTTTAACTGGTTTGTCTTTCATTGAAGAAAGCATATCTATCTCAGGATGCTATATGCATTTGTATCTACTCTCAATTGATGTGGCAGTAATAGAAACAGGAATAATATTATGGTTGTATATTTAGTCTTAAGTAATCAAATTATTAATAGCTGGGAGTATTGCAAAAATGCCCTTTATTCCAGATCACTACAAAAATCTCTTAGTGTTTCTTCCCCCTCTTATATTTCTGTTAAGGTCTAGAAATGTATAAATTTTCTTTTTTGTTGTTTTTTATTTTAATTACTTAAGAGTGTTAAATTAGTTTCAGGTGTACAATGTAATAATTTGGCACTTCCATACATCACCCTGTGCTCATCACAAGTGCATTCCTTAATCTCCATCACCTGTTCATCCCTCTGCCTCTCTCACTTCTCTATAATTGAGTGTATTTTTTTATTTCTCTCTCATTTTTTCCCTTGTTTCTTAAATTCCACATATAAGTGAAAGCATATGGTGTTTGTCTTTCTCTGACTTACTTTGCTTAGTGTTACTTTAGCTCCATCCATTTCATTGCAAAAGGCAAGATTTTATTCTTTTGTATGGCTGAATAAAATATTCTATTATGATATATATATATATACACACTGCATCTTCTTCATCCATTTATCTTCCATATCTTGGCTATTGTAAATAATGCTGGTATACACATAGGGGTGCATATATCCCTTTGAATTAGTGTTCTTGTATTCTTTGGATAAATAACCAATTGTGAAATTGCAGAATCCTAAGGTAGTTCTATTTTTAACTCTTTGAGGAAATTCCATACAGTTTTCCAGAGTTTGCACTCCCACCAGCAATGCAAGAGGTTTCCTTTTACGCCACACCCTCACCAACACCTGTTGTTTCTTGTGTTGTTAATTTTACCTTTTCTGACAGGTGTGAGGTGATATCTCATTGTAGTTTTGGTTTGCAAGAAATGTCTAAATTTTCAGTTGAACTAAACAAATAGGTTATTAAATGATTAGGCAGTAATGAATTCATGTTTTACTAATTCACAGAGAACAAGAACTTTTTATTGTTTATTATTGTCTGCTTTGTGAAAATGATTATGGATCTTTTGGGACCAAAGTACCAAGATTGTATCTGGCCCGGTTTTGTATAGGAAAATATTTTAATTAAAAATGCCACACGCAGGCAAGCTAGATTTACTTACTTTCCTCTTGGTATATCCATGTCCTAAAGCTCTTGGAAGAAAATGGTTTAAAAAATTGTTTTCATGTCTACATTGTAAGTAAAATCACTTGTCATAGTGAGTTGCAAAATGCAGACCTTCATTCTGAAGCTGCCTGTTTCTCATTTGGATCTGACATATTAAAAAGCATATAATTAATGGTTGACATTAGTAATTAACATTAACTTTATGGTGCTTAATATGCCATCATTCATCCATCAAATAACCAGAAATGCATAATGTCTTGGCATAAAGGTTTTAATTATAGAAAACGGTCCTTCAATTTTCATATGATATAAACGTTAAAAGCCAAAAATGAAGATTTTTCTAAGGATTTGTTGGGTGTTAGCTATATTTTTATTTCTTTTTAGGAGTATGCATCAACACTTGTGTCAGGAACTTCAGAAGGAGAATGTGGACCTAACTGCGCAGTCTTCATTATCGGCTAAAGAGCGCCACCTTGCTGCAGTTGCCTGTGCACTATGGAGACATTTCTTTTCATTTTTGAAGAGTCAGAGAATGTCACAGATAGTGCCTCTCTCAGAACTTGCGGACGCAGCTGCAGGTCAGCATTGTTAATTTGCTAATTAGCTTCTCATTTTGCAGACTGTCAGTTTTTTCTTCTGTTTGCTTGGTAACAAACTCTTTTATTAGTCTAATAAATACTTTGACAACAGGGAAGATAAAAAGAGTTTTGTATTTTTAAATTAAGATCCTTTGGCATTTATTTTCTTAGTAAAGGTAAAACTTAAGTGACTGCTCGCTAAAAATAAAATATTTTTGATCTTAAAAATACTGAATGTGCATAAATTTGTCTTATGCATGCAGTATCTGGAAAGTAAAGTAGCATTTGATTTCTTCTAGTTCAAGTCCGTTATTTGCAAAGTGTGTATGCAAATATCTAGGTATAACGTGAAGTTACTTCTATGAAGAGCAAAAGAATATATTAACAAATTCTACTTCACCAAGCAGAGATCAGAATAACCTCAAATGTATAAAATGTTACTGTTCTGACTTACAGATTCTATTTTAGGTTGTAATTTTTAATTAATTTGACTCTTAGTCCAAGGTCATGTCCTTAGACTTTAAGGGAATCTGAATCACATGACATTGTAGGCAAGAATTTGAATATATGAGCATATTTGCCATTTTATAAGAAGAGATCATTATTTTCTCAAAGGGATATTTTACCCCAAATATGTTAAGAAGTACTAGAATAGATGAAGATCAATATAGCAACTCCATGCATTTAATTGCGATTCGTTTAAAGGTATGTAATGCATATCTATGTGATGCTTTTTAAAACCTAATACCTAAACGATGGTTTATTTTATCCTGGTGTGAATGACAGGAAGCTGAGCTAAAAGCAGTACATAAAAGATTGAATAATATAAATTGTGAAAGATCTTGAATTCTGCTAGTATTTCCATAATTAAAATATTACAATGACAGATTGAAGAATTGTGACAGGACAACAGTTTTCCAACTACCAGAATGTCTATGAAAATAAATATTGATATTCAGTCAGTTTAACCAAAGCAGTCATTAGAAGCCAATATGACTTCTGTTTCTTGCATGCATCATCCCGACTCACAGTCCGTGAACAAAAATGATACCACACAAGTTTAATCAGGGCTGTCCTAGGTGCTAAAAATTAGTAAAAGTGTGTGTGTGTGTGTGTGTATACCACATACTTACTTGGGTTTGTTTTAAGACTTAATAGGTAAGAGAAAAAAATTTCCTGCATTAAACACAGTAGTCATCAAACACCCAATTTTATTGCCATTGTAGATATAACAGTGAGGAAAAGGAACTGCAATTCCTTTTCTCACATGTAAATTACATGTTCTCATTGAACTTAGTCACATGTGGAGAAGATAACAATTAGTAAGCAAGATGTGTAATATATGGTGATAAGTGCTTTGGAGAAAAATAAAAATATATCAAAGAGGATAAGGAAGGCCAGAGGCAAATCGTAATTTTAAGTAGAATTATCAGGAAGGCCTGAGTAAGTACCATTTAAGCAAAGACATGAACGAAGTTAGAGACCAATACTGCAGGAGAATAGAAGCAAGAGCATGTCTGGTATGTTTGAGGAACCACAGAGAATCCATAAGCTTGTGTGGCATAAGAAAGAGTGAGTGGTCAAGAGCTACAATCAAAAGATAGTGGAGAGCTAGTTTGTGTTCTACCTTGTATGCAGTTGTAAAGACTCTTGCTTTTCCTCTGAGATTAGAAGCTTTTGTAAAACATCTGAACAAAGGAGTGAGAAGCATCCTTCTGGCTGCTAGACTAAGAGCCAACTATAGGGTGGCCAGTTAGTGAACCGTTGCAACAATGCAGAGATGAGCAACTTGAGCTAACATGGTAATAGTCCAGGTGGTGAGAAGTGGTCGGATTTCCAGTCTGAAGGTACAGAAAGTGTGTTGAAGGTAGATCTGACAGAATTTCTAAGTGGGTATAATATGGTAAACAGAATAAAAAGAGAATTCCTCTTTTATGGAGATGAGGAAAATTGTGACAGGAGCAGATTTTATGAGGGCAGACTAGGATTTTTATACTGGACTTTTTATTTTAGATACCCATTAAACTCTAAGAAAAAGCAGGCATTTGGATAATAAGTGTTGGGTTCAGGGAAGAGGTTAAATTTGGAAACTGTATATAGTCATTAAAGCTGTGAACTGGATGAGATCACTGATAGAGTAAGTTTGGTGAAAACGGAAGTAGGAGGACTGGGCTCCAGGATATTCCCATGTTTAGATTTGTAGGATAAAAAGGAACCAGGAGAGGAAACTGCAAAGGAATGCCAGCGAAGCAAGAGGAAAACCATGTGTGTTGCCCTGGAAATCACATGACAGAGCATTTCAAGGAGGGGAAGTCTTCAACTGCTCAAATGCTGTTAATGGATCAAATAAGATGAGACCTGAGATGAGATTGGTCACTGGATTTAGCAAGAGGGGAGGTCAGTGGTCACCTTGAAAAGGAGTTTTGGTGTAGTGCTAGAAACAAAGGCCTGCTTAAAGTTGATTTAAGAGAAAATGTGAGAAGAAGAATTGCAAACTGCAAATGTAGATACATCTTTTTGAGTATTACTGTTTAAGAGAAGTAGAAAATGGGGATGTTAGCTAGAGGGAGGTGTGGGTCAAAGAGATTTTTTTTTTTTTTAATAACACGGGAGAAATTTCAGCATGTTTATAATCCTGACATGAATGGTTGGAGTAAAGGAAAACTTGATGATCCATGAGAGTCACTTGTGCTTTAATGTCCAAAAGAAATGGGATCCCGTAGAGGACTTGGCCTCAGATCATCTGAGTAGCAGAAAAGAAGGCAGAGTAAATGGGCCCAGAGGCACCTGGCTGGCTCAGTTGGTTAGGTGTCTGACTCTTGATTTTGGTTCAGGTCATGACCTCACAGTTTGTGACTTTGAGCCCCATGTCACATTCCACATGCTGACAATGTGGAGCCTGCTTGGGATTCTCTATAGTGATCATAAAGATCTCTAAGAATGGGTCTAGAATAATCTATTTAAGCATTATCATTGTGGAATTTATAATGGCTTCTTCAAATTCCAAATTGTACACCTTATGTTTCTGCTAATATGCTCAGAATATATGTGCATTCCCTCTCTCTCTCTCAAAATAAATAAATAAGCAAACATTAAAAAAAAAAATGGGCCTAAGAAGAGGCAGCTGGGTAGATGTGTCAGGACCTTGTGGTAGTTCTCTGCTGTTGTTTCTCATTTCTTTGTGAACTAGTAAGTAAGCCCATTAGCTGAAAGTGGGGGCGGGGAGGAGGTGCTGGCCAATGACAGAGAAAAGAAGGTATGCAGTAGCCATCCAAGAGAATAAAAGTCTGAATGGACTAGAGTAATGTAGCAGGAATGCTGACCAGCTCTAAGGTCCAACTTAAAGTTTATAGTCATAAAGTTAAAGTGAGATCAGTCAGCAGGATTCCTCACCAGCCATTTATACTGGTGCAGGTATATGGCAAGAGAAGACCAAGACTTAGAATTAAAGAGTTGCTTTTTCAAGAGAAATACAATGAATCAAGTAAGAAACAAGGGACTTGACAGTATGCAAAACTAGTATAACAGTGGACTGTGGAATCAAGCTGCCTAAAAAGGAAAAGAAGGCATGAAGGCAGTGAGGGACAGGGAAAAAGTTGTAGGATCAATGACTTGTAGGTCTTGGTGGAATAGTTGTTGGGAGTTGGAGACCTAGAGACAGAGAGTTGGAAAGCTCCTGGGGTGCCAGAAAGTGGGGTCCTGGAAATGGAAATTATGACTGCTAATGCCAAGTCTCACAGTATCTCAGCATGGGAGTAAATGGCTGAAAGAGAGTGGAAGATAGATTCACTGAGGAGGACAGTTCAAGAAACCCAGAGACCAGGATAGCAGAAGAAAAGCCATCCAGGATTATGACAGGAGCACTGCTAGAGAGAGGATGTGGTTAGTGAGTGACAGTCTTAAAGGAATGAGGGCAGATGAATGAGGAAACACTAGGTGAATGCAACAAGGAGAATTACTGACTGGTATCTGATGACATGAGAGTCAAAGTCGGAGGTTTTCCAGAGGAGGAGGGGGAGAATGGTCTAGAAGCAACCTTGGGACCAAGGTGAAAACTCCCCTATCTGTAGGTCAGGTGTAGGAGAAGTGTCGGAGAATCCACAGCCACCACTTGAGAGGTACATAGGAGCCAGTGCTTCATAAGCAATGTATTGACAAACATAATATAATACAAATTAAGTTGGGGAATTCCCAGGAAATCACAGAATAAAGTATATTTGTTTAATGTGGCTAACTAGGGAATTCTAGTTCCTAGGCTTAGTAGGTTCTGAAGAAAGAGTGTCACTGAAGAAATTACCTATTTAATGGAAGCCTAGGAAATTACCATTTAATTAATGGAAGATTATCCAATGTCTAAGAGTGAAGTCTTCTCCTTGGTAGGTGGTAAGTATATTAGCTGGATTAGAGAAAAGTAGATGCTAGAAATATATATTTGTTAATGGGTCTTTTGAAGGACGCCTGGGTGGCTCAGTTGGTTAAACATCAGACTTCAGCTCAGGTCATGATCTCACAGTTTTTGAGTTCGAGCCCTGCATCAGGCTCTGTGCTGACAGCTCAGAGCCTGGAGCCTGCTTTTGATTCTGTGTCTCCCTCTCTCTCTCTGCCCCTCTCCCCCACCTCGTGCCCTCATGTACTTGCTCTCTCTCTTAAAAAAAAAAACACTTAAAAATAAAATAAAAATAAATGGGTTTTTGAATCAGAGAGGCACAAACATCAGATGTAGAATTTGGAATTTGAGGAAGCCACTATAGATTCCATGATGATAATGCTGAAATAAATTATTCTAGACCTATTCTTGGAGATTATATATTCACTACGGAAATTTCTTTGGCAACATGGATTTAGTTTTTTTGCTTTTTGTTAGTTCTGCATTTCTACATGTGACATTTTATTAGAGTGAATTCTTTTTATCACTATTGATTTAATTTGGGGAGGAGAAATAGTTTTTTTAAAATTCTTCACTATAGGGGTACCCAGGTGGCTCAGTCGGTTGAGCATTTGACTCTTGATTTTGGCTCAGGTCATGATCCCAGGGTCATGGGATCTAGCCCCATGTCAGGCTCTAAGCTGAGCATGGAGCCTGCTTAAGATTCTCTGTCTTTGTCTCTCTCTCTGTCTCTGTCTCTCTCTCCCTCTCTCCACCCCCCCCACCTCATGAGTACACATGCACTCTCTGTCAAAAAATTTTTTTAATTTTTTGTTGATTTAAAGAAAAAATTCCTCACCATAAATTTCTTTCATTTTTAAATCTAGATTTTACTTTGCTAGCATTGGACATGCCCAGCACAGCTCCATCAGATCTTCAGCCTCAGCCAGTTATATCATTGATACAGCTTTTTGGTTGGGATGATATCATCTGGCCCCAGGTTGTAGCAAGATATTTAAGTCATTGCCTACAAAATAGGTAAGTGACTTGATGTCAGATATGCACCTCAATAGAAACTCAATAGATCAGTATACTAGAAAGTAAGAATTTTCACAAATAAAAACTAACCCTAGTACATATATTCACACTTTGGTGGTATTTTGCTTTTGGATGTATCAGCATTTAACAGTGCCAGTAGCCTGCCTTAAAAAAAAACAAAAATCAAAAAACAAAAAACTTGCTGCTTTAAAGCTTTTTTATAAAACTGTTTTTGTAGGACTTCCTTTATTGCATCCTGCAATTACCTTTCTATACTCACCTTTGTGGAAGAAATTATGCACTTAATATTGCCAGTTGTATAACTAGTATACTATTGTATTTTTAGATGTAATGATAGCTTTCCCTTTCACAGCTATATATTTAGACTCAACTCATAGCTTGTACAGTTAGGAAGAAGACACTTCATCACCATGAACCCTGGTTTCCTTACCTGTATTTCCTGCTGCATCACATAACAGATCTGAAGAACCTCAATAGAAAATACATACAATAAATAAAATTACAATAGAAATGGTATAATCAGGAAGATTTGAATAAGAATAGTACAATGAGGGAAATAAAATAAATGCACAAACCTGGGAGATCACTGTAGTTCCTGTCCAGATGAAGAGGGATGCAGTCAGTGAAGTATTCTTCTCATAAGGAAGCCCACTAAACAGTCGTAAGCCATCTTCTCATTGGCTTTCAGTCATGAAGTAAGTGAGCTCAACTTCCTTTGAATTACTTTTAGTCTCTTCTAGCTTGCTAATTCTGTAATAATAAACATTATTACTATTTGTTAAATACTTTTGCTGAAACTATCCAAAATAAGTTTAGTTTAAAAAATAGTATTTTGTATATAAATAGCAGTTGAAGAAACTGAAATGCAAAGGGGTTAAATAACTTTGGGAAGTTGAGTTCTTCAGCACTGTTACTCTTTGGGACGACTTCTGTTCAGGGATTTGAAAACAATATTTTTAGAGTTATGATTTAATATGTGTTTTTCAAATTTCTGACTTTACTTAGCACTTCATGGTTAGGTTAAGACCACCCTCATCCTTTTTACCCCCCAATTATAAAATGGTTAGATATCAGATTTAGCCAGACCTTTGGATTCACAGAAAGATTTTTGGTTTTATTTTTTTTTCTGTCAGATGTTACTTTGTATTTTTTAATAATGACCACCTATGGGGTGGTATAGCAGGAAATAAAGGGTTGGGTATGTGATTGGTTAGAAGACTCAAACAGAAATCTACTTTGTCTTTAACTCTTTTCTTACTTAAATGGTCATGACCACTTCTCCTTTTATTTACTCTAAGGGCCACTGTTTTTTTCCTACGTGCCACTTCCTTTATTATGTCACCTAGCTACTTACAAGCCCCTTCCTAGATTTCCCCGTTTTAACCTTATTCTCCCTTACCTCTTGCCCTTGGCATAAACCTACACATTTGCCATCAGTGGAAAAAGGAAATTAAAAATTAGAACTGTTAGGAGCGCCTGGGTGACTCAGTCAATTGAGCATCCAGCTTCAGCTCTCTGCCCCTCCCCTGCTCATGCTCTGTCTCTCTCTCAAAAAATAAACATTTGAAATTAGCACTGTTACAGATGAAAGCAAGAATTTTTATATCAAGTATCTTTTTGTGTGTCTGTAGTGTTTATTTTCATCAGTGTGTATCTGTATTAATGTGTGTCTGTAAAACAAGCCAAGAAATGGGGTGTATTAGAATTTTTCCTTTATTTCTTAATCTCTGTACTCAGGAAATATATTGTCAGGTTTTGTTTTTGTTTTTAATATCCATCAACTTATTTTTACAGCATGTTATGTGAAGCACTTTCTCATTCAGGCTGTGTATCTTTCCAAGCCTTAACTGTAAGATCATGGATTCGTTGCATTTTGCAAATGTATATAAAAAACTTCCATGTGCCTGATGATTTGTTCATTGACATAAATCCTGGACAGGCAGTTGGTGAGTATTTCAGGCATTTTACTTTCTAGATAGCTAAATAATGTTTAAAATTTCCTGTTTTGTTATATAAATTAATAGAAAAAGATGCAAAATAGATTTGTTATATACAGTGTTTGTAATATATGTAAATAGTAACATTTCCTTTTGCAGTCTGTTTCTTTTTCCTGGTATTTCCCTGTTATATATGACAAATTTCTCTCCTATAAAGATAAAAGAACTTGTTTCCTTGGAAGCCAGTAACAAAAACATGCTCTTGGGTGACAAGCTATCTTTTTACCTTGAAGAAACTGATCACACAAAAAAGGTGGACAAATAACCAGATATATCACACTGTTAATACCCAAAAAAGAAAAATATCCAATTATGAATAATTCTCTCCTATTTTATATTAGATATTTTACCTCTCCTCTGCTTTACTATTATTAGTCACATACTGATATTGTACTTTATTATTATTATTTTTTTAAATATCGTACAGTTCTGGTTGTCTCTAGAACATACTTTTCCTAAAGCTATTCTTTATGGCCATTTGTAAGTAACACAAAAGTTGGACTGAGAAAATGCCCCAAATTTATTGTGACATCTTATTACATCAATAGTCTTGACATGAAAAATTTTTGAGGGCTCATGTGTTCACAAGTATATGTTTGTTTGGTTCTAAATGAAACCTTTCCTGGGACACCTGGGTGGCTCAGTCGGTTAAGCAGCCAACTTCAGCTCAGGTCGTGATCTCATGGTTTGTGAGTTCAAGTCCCGCATCGGGCTTTATGCTGACAGATCAGAGCCTGGAGCCTGCTTCAGATTCTGTGTCTCTTCCTTTCTCTGCCCCTTCCCCTGCTCACTCTCTGTCTCTCTCTCTCTCATAAATAAACATTAAAAATAAGAATAATAAATAAAATAAATAAATAAATAGATGAAACCTTTCTTTAGAGACTTGATTGAAAGTTTTTAATTATGTGAAAATTTGATTTTTTTAAAAAAGAATGTTATAAATGAATGCTGCATTCCCTACTCTCATCTATATATGTGACAAATATATAATAAACACATAAATATTATTATATTATTTTTGTCTTAACAGAAAAAGAGTACTTGGGACAGTTGGCTGAACTGACAAGGTTGCTATTTCAACTCTCAGAAGTAAAGAATATTTTTTCAAAGGCTCAAGTTGAATATTTTTCCAGTCCAGAAGACCCTACGAAAGCACTTGTTCTGTTTTTTGAGGTAGTTTTCATTTATTAGTATGTGTCCAGATGAATTATTTTTCACAAAAACTTGAAGTGTTTATGAAGTTTGTCTATAAAATGAATTATTTTAAATGAATCATATTATTGGCTGTCTGCTATTATAGAATTTTGGAGGAATAAAAATGTGTTTATGATTTAGTACAGTTGCAAAATATATTTGTTAAGGACAAATATATTAAGGACAGCAGAAGAATTACATTTAATGAAAAGTAATGACTAAGGAATGCTACGTAAAAGCCTCACACTAAGGTTTGTGTCAATTGTAGGAATATCTTATTGTTGAAATTGCTAGATAGCAATATTCTCCAAACACTTGGGAGTTAGATTTCCTTATACAGGGTCCATAATAGTTCTAACTTAATGTTTACCACGCTGTAGCAAATAGTACATTTTATTATAGTTAGCATAATCATCAAGTGCTTCATATCATTATGGTTGGGGCCTTAAAAATCTAATCATTTGTTTAGCTTTGTCTCCATAATAAATAGTCCCTTTCAGTGTTTGACTTTTATTTATTAATTTTTCAGGAATTTATATTATGTAATAATCTTTGCTTTACATCGTAACTGAAGTTGTTAGTGTGTTTGGATTCGTGTTTTTGTAAGTTATTCACAATAAAAGTTGGTTTATTTTCCCATAGAGCAGTTGGTATTAACTGCCATGAAAATAAATACAGCCTTTTAGGTCTTTCCACAAATGTGAATTCTTCCACTGGTTTCTATTAAGTTAAAGTACAGTCGTATGACAATTAGTGATATCATATAAATTCTAAAAATATTTAGTAATAGTTTATGCAAATGTGAAATGGCCATTTCTTTTGAACCTTTTGTTTAGTTGTTGATAGGATCTTTACCTGTACTTAAACACCTATGCTAAGAACCATAAAGGACCAGAAAGGGAGGTACAAGTCATGTGCTTCGCTAATAGTTTTCAAAGACTCTTCTAATTTCATCCCATCCAAATTAATTGTTCTTTCATCACTGAGTAAATAATTATTATTTGCTAAATGCTAGATGTTATTATGCTAGGATTTCTTAGGGGTTTGACAAACCAAAAGAAGTAGTTCTTGATCTTAACTTATTACTTGTCTGAGAATGCAAGATAAACACAAAGGTTAAAATAATAAGACAGTATATGGGAAGTGTAATTAGATGATAGATCATTCAGTAGGTTAATAATTCAGAGCATCTTCGTCTAAGAAGTTTTGGGTTTTCTCCTGTGAACAGTATGAAGGCTTTATAAATTTTTAAGTAGGCTGATTTGATCAGATGACTTTTTAAGAAAATTAATAATAGATTAGATTAAAGGTGTTGGCCAGAAACTAGTTAGATGTAGAAGGAAGTAAAAATTGAATTATGGGGTTTTTGAAGGATATGAAATAACTACTGTGTTTAACTAGGAGAATGCTGATACCTTAAGGAGAAGCAGGAGTACATGATTTAGGGTAAAAGAGAAGTAGGTGAGGAGTTCAGTTTTAAACTGGTTAGTTTGAGATTGGTGTAAGGTTGCCACCTGGATCATTTCCGGGTACTATATGATTTGCTGGAAGGACTCAGAGCTCAGCATATGGTTGTACTCACAACTGTGATTTATTACAGTGAAAGAATTCAAAGCTCCATCAGCATGTGGTGAAACCTGAGACCCCAGGCACAGCTTCCAAGGGTCCTCTCCCACATGTTTCGTGGGACATGCTTAATTCTTCCAGCTAGGAATTGTGACAACACATCTGAAATGTTATCTGCCAGGACACTCGTTAGCTACATTTAGTGCCCAAGGTGTTTCACATAGGCTCCCTTTGCCTAGCACTTAGAAAATTCCAGACTTCCAGAAGGGAGGCAGGTATTCAATGTAAACTATATTGTTTGCACAGACAGTTTAGGGTCTGTGAGCCATCCTACCAGGAAATGGTGGGAAAAACCCAAGGTCCCAATCACCAACCAAGGGTCAAACTTGCAAGTAGGCCTTTTTAAAGATAGTAGTCTATGACCTACGGTGTTAACTCTTTCTTATATGGAAATGATACTATGACAAGTAAATAAATGAGAGTCAAAGAAATCCCTGAGAAATATATATGTCTTATAGTCCTGGGGGGTTAAGGCTAAACACAGAGAAATACTGAGATCTAGATTAGTGGTTCTTAAAATTGTGTTTTGTAGACACCTGGGGATTCTAATACCTTTTCAGGAATTTTAAAAGCTCAAAAGTGTATTGGCATTTGCACAAATAGTACAGAAGCTTTAGCACAAATCAGTACCATGGCCCAAGATTATATATTGGTGGTCATAATTTTCGTTGCCATGCAGTCACAGGAGAAAAAGAAAAAGAATCTAGTCTCATTTAAGAATGTTCTTAATGAAGCAATAAAATTATTAAATTTATTAAATGCTGACCCTTGAGTACATGTCCTTTAATGTCCTGTGAATGACAATGGGAAGTGCACTTAAAAGCACACCTGCTTCATATAAAGTGAAGTGGTTGTCTATAAGCACTTTCTGTGATAATTTGAGTTACAAGCTGACCTAACTGTTTTTATCTTGAAGGAACAACTAACAAAGTATGGTTGTTCAGACTTGGGTATTTGGCAGACATTTTCTCAGAGATGTATGAAATGAGTATCACTTCAAAGAAAATAACTCATGCTGTTTGTTGCTAATAACACAATTTGAGCTTTTAAGAAAATTAGAATTTTGGAAAACTTAAGTATTTGCCATAATGAGTGTGAGAGCTTCATGAAAATTAAAGACTTTTCTGATGATGTTGGTGGTGGTATTAACAAATAGAATTTTTTTTAGTGGATAGTGAGATATGTCAACATTGGCAAGCTGTGTAACTCAGTGAGCCAGAATTTTCCAAATGACCAGTACAAGCTTTTTAAAAGCATGCATGGGTATTAAACATTCATTAGAAAAGCAAAATAGATCAGTGGCTTTTAATGCAGCAGAGTACAGAATATTTGTTGGCACAGTTTGGAGTTCCATAATACAATTAACCTTTAAGAAATAGCACTTGTCAAGTTTTGGTGTAATATCAAAAAGGGATTCCCACAGTTATCTGAAATATCAATTAAAATAACTTCTTTCTCTTCCAGTTACATGTATTTGTGAGATTGAACTGTCTTCATCTGCAGCACATTACAACAGATTTTGTGTAGGGACAAATATGAGAATCTAGCTGTTTTCTTTTTTTTTTTTTAAATGTTTTTTTATTTATTTCTAGGAGAGAGAGAGAGAGACAGCGTGAGCAGGGGAGGGTCAGAGAAAGAGGGAGTCACAGACTGAAACAGGCTCCAGGCTCTGAGCTGGCAGTCAGCACAGAGCCCGACGCGGGGCTCGAACCCACGAACCGCGAGATCATGACCTGAGCGAAAGTCAGACGCTTAACCGACTAAGCCACCCGGGCGCCCCAAATCTAGCTGTTTTCTGTTAAGCCAGACATTAGAGAGGTTTATAAAAATGTAAAAATTGTCACTTTTCACTATTTTTTTATTGTTTTGGAAAATAAAGCTATTTTCCATAAAAACATTTTACTGTGTTAACATACAATGCTTATTATTTTTATTTTTTAAGTTTCTTTATTTTGAGAGAGACAGGAAGAGAGAGCATGCATGAACAAGAGAGGGATAGAGAGAGAGAAAAAGAGAGAATCCCAAGCAGGCCCTGTGCTGACAGCAGGGCTCTACCTCACGAAGCATGACATCATGACCTGAGCCAAAAGCAAAAGCTGTTCGCTTAACCAACTGAAGCACCCAGGTGCCCCATATAATGCTTATTATTTTTAAATGAACTAGTAAATAATTTAAATTTTCTCTTTTCATTTCTTATATGGCAAATATCAATAGATACAACCCAAATAATAGTAAGCGCCTTAAGATCCTCAACTTTTAAGCATATGGAAAGGAACCAAGAAGTTTGAAAACGTCTGGTCTAGGAAAAGAAAGATAGAGAACCAAGGGCAGAAAGCTTAAAAAAAAGAAAAACAAAAAGAGAGAGAGAGATTCCATCAAGTATACCTTTTGTTGTTGTTTTCATCTGTCAGTCAGTCATTCCAGTTCACTAGATTCCTTCTTTTCTTCCGTTCTACATTTTATTGTCAACATGGCTAACTTTAATATCACCTTGAATAATTTATCCTAATCCCTCATTTCAAAACTTCTCCACAAGTCTTTAGTGATCTTCACTTTGCTCTACTTCATCTGCCTACCTCCATGACTAAACCTTGAGCTGTGGCATCACCTAGATTATCTGAGAACTCTTTGACAGTCACCACCTGTGCCTCTAGCCTTCCAAGTGACCTTCCACTTTTTTCCTCCAAGTGCAACATCCTTTCAATGTCTCACTTCTTTCCTGCCCACCTTAATTAGACTTCTTGGTGGCCTCACCGAAGGCATACTCTTATCATCGTCATCCCAGTCTTCCATCTTTGGTCTTTTGGTTACACCTACAAACCCTCAACCTTGGATTGGTTCAGCCATTTGCTTTCTTTCCTTTATCTTATCTGCTGAGGAGCTGCAGGAGAAAAAACATGTAACTATGTATATTGATGCCATTGTGTCCAGTTAGGTCATTGAAAGCCACCAGAAGTCCCCAATAATGGTTTGAAAACATTGCTACTCTTTTCAAACCTTCTAACCAGTCTCTAGCCAGTCTTCTCTTGATTTTTGTGTAGTCACGCCTTATTCTCACCTTTCCTCAATTTATTCTTTCATTTATTTCTTTTCCTTTTCACACTTCACTCTTCTCTCACTGCCTCACCTCACATTTCTCTCTACCATCTCACCATTTTATCATCTCTGTCCTTTGTGCCTCATCGTTTTTCCCTCTGAGAAAGCCAAGTTAGCATCTAATGGCTCATAAAAAAATTCTGGGGAAAAAAATCAATTCATATCACAGAACTGAACTTTAAGAGGTCATATATGTAAGAATTTAGTAATGTTGCTTGTAGGTTTTCCTTGTACGAATTTGGGGATTGCCAGATGTGCACTAGGATGTTTGGAAGTCTTGATGTAATTTGGCTATAAACTTCTTTTATATCAGTTCCATTGATTTTTTTTTGTTTAAATTCTTCTTTTAACCTTTATTTTAATTGTAAAAGGTAAGACTTCATTCTTTTTAATTGAAAATCTTTAATATTTTTAATTGCTATGAACATTTATTGGAAAGTTAAAGCTGTAAACTTAAATATAAGGATGTGTGTGTGTATGTGTAGAGAGAGAAATTTTCTTTATTTTTCAAAGTCCATATTGTGTAAAACTTGGAAATCTAAATCATGGTTTTCTATTTTATAGGCTGTTGGTATTACTTATGGGAATCTGCAGACACTTTCTGATAAATCTGCCATGGTCACAAAGTCCTTAGAATACCTTGGTGAAATATTAAAATATATAAAACCCTACTTGGGAAAAAAAATTTCTAGTGTAGGACTGCAATTGACTTACAGGATGATGGGTATGTACTCTTTATATTATTGAAACTTCCTTATGTTGAGCCTATAGTATCATGATAGGAATATTCTAATACACTGGCTAAATCACTGTTCTCCATACAGTCATAAGAATAATTTGAAAGACAATAATTTGGCTTACAATAACTTATGTTGGCTTTCTACTACTGTATCCTCACCTCCTTTCAGAACTTTCCTTGTTATACAGCTTATGTTCATAATAAAATTAATTATGACCAAAACTGAAAATATGCTGATACCAATTTGCTATCAGTAGCAAATTGTGAGTCACTCACATTGTGAATACCTAGATAATTAAAATGGACTTTTTTTTAATGCTTATCTGTGCTTTGTTAGAATTTAAAATATCAAGAAACTGTCACTTCCTTTTATTTTTTTGGTCTGCTCTGGATGAAGGAGGTCAAGAAAGAATTTACTATAGCACTAGAGATATTTATAGAGAGCTTCAAAGTTGCTCCTCACAATGCTATGTTTTCTCCTTTCATAAATCTTTTTCTCTGCCTGTTTTATAACATAGTTCATCCTTCTTGAGGAAGTTAGTAATTTGAATACCTTTGTTCACTAAAACCATGTTACTAACTAAAAATAGGAACTGGATAAAGGGAAATGAGAAAGATTTCCTTAGAAGTTTTTATACAGAATTTAAGGGTTTTTGTTTGTGTTTTTGTTTTTTTTAATTTCTCTGTGGCCAAAACCTTATATCTGCTCCCTTTGATCTTGTGAACATATTAATAAACTTGATTTAGGCTGTCTGAAACCTTTTATCTTTGTTGTGAAAGATAAAGGAGAATACAAAAATATGTAAATATGGATGATGTAGAATGTAGTGAAAGCTATAGTAGCAATTCAGGCATCTTAATTTTACAGGAAAACAGAAGTGATAATTTATTATAAATTTAACAGAGTAAAATGTAGATTAATAAGCATTGCAGCATTTAGGCTTATAATTTATTAGTCTCTGTTAGATTTTTGCCAAACTAGATGATTTCAGGAGATGTATTTATTTTACAAAATATGTGATAGTCCTAACTGCAGAATCATATTTGGATTGGTAATATGTTGACCTGCGAAAAATTGAGGACCTTCTTTGTTGTATTACAAGATTGGCACACTGGAAGATAGATCTGTATTCTTTTCTTTTGTCTAAATCTCAGAGACTGGGAATAGAATATATTGGTACAGTGTTACCCATTTATACGTTAAAAATTAAGAACAGATCAGTTGCTGTCTTCTTCATGAAAAAGGCTGAGAACAAATTGGAGGAAGAGCAAGTGCAAACTTTTTAAAGTTCAAAACGTGCTTGAAGTGTGTGGGTTTGGGATATCATACTCACTTGAGGGAAGGTGAGTTAACCACAGAAACTATATTTACCTTGCCAGTTTCTAACTGAGGATAAGTCTGCTGTTTACTTACAAGGCTGATAGTGGAAGGTGCAAACTGTTGATAAAATTACTTCAAATGAAAGCTCTGGGGCCTCAATTGCAACTCAGTAATTTCTAAAAAAGGATTGATTCATGAGGACTGTCTTTAACTTTCCTCATCTTAATATCAATTTTTGTGGTTTTTCTCTTTTCATTTACTTTTTCTGTCCCCATGTTTTTATCTTGATCATTCTCCTCTTTTCAGCCATTCCTCCTTTTTCTTTGTAATTGAAATTCTACCCATGACCCTCAGTGCCCATACTAATATTCTGTTTTCCACACTCCCAAGTAGACTTGGTCTCCCTGGTTAAGCTGCAGCTGTCCATTTCCTACGACATTTCTCATAGCTTGCCAGTTTTTAATAATATTTACGTGCTTGGCATGTCCCTACTAAATTTTAAGTTTACTCATGATAGTGGCCGTATCTCTTGAACTTTTTATTCCTGTTATCATGTTGTATTTTGAACAAGTAAGAACATTTCCTGAGTTATATGTTAAGCACTGGATTGGGAAAGAGCTTCGCCCGTGTAGGAGATGGCATATACTGAATAAATAGACTAAATAAATTCTAACTAAATATACTAAATAACTATTTTTAGAATTTAACAATTTTATAAACCTAGCTAATCGAACATAATGTAACTTTTAATGTTCCTAAATGAGCAAAGTTACTTTCTAACTGTAAATACATTTTTAAATGCCTATTATAATGATCTCAATCCTCTTCTCTTTTTTTAGGCATAATATATGCTTAGAGTAGAAAATAAGTAAACACATAAGAACTCTTATAGTGCAAATCTCTTTCAGTTGTAGAAGTATGCTCCCCACAATTTTTCTACATCTTCTTTTATTTTTTAAGTTTGTTTATTTTGAGTGTGAATGTACGAGCAACAGCGGGGCAGAGGAAGAGAGAGAGAGAATGCTAAGCAGGCTTCCAGCACTGTCAACGTGGAGCCCGGTGCAGGGCTCGATCTCACAAACTGTGAGATCATGACCAGAGTTGAAACCAAGTCGGACGCTTAACACACTGATCCAGCCAGGTGCCCCTGCATTTTCAACAGCATCATTTAAATACATAATAATGTTTCTAGCCAGAAAAAAAGACTGGGTTTCTTTACAAAGCCCCTGTATGTACTTAAACCTTCTCTAAGTTTTTGACTTAAAAAATTTCTTTCTCTTTGCATTATTAATACTACACACTTAGTTCTTCACTGGAAACTTAAAACTAGGGTTCTGATTTGGCAGTAAAACAAATGGGTCTCCTCTCCTTCTACGAACTCATAAAACTTAAGATCTTCAGCAAAGTGTTTTAGTCCATTGCAGAAGATGAAATGCAAGGGTGGATGATGCATTTTTGGTTGGAAGGCCCTTGCTCTTTATAAGTCAATTCCTGTGTGACACCTGAGAGTGATATGAATCATTTCAAACGTCAGTGGTGATGTCAGTTCCCTTTACGGGTATATTAATGTTCGTTAGGATGTGAGTTCTTCTTACATTGCTGTCATTCTCAAGTTTTCCACCTACTGAAAAAATGAGGAGCAAGCCAGCGTTATTTAAAATATTGCTAAGTGAGCATTGTGTTTCTTTATGATTGATTATTGTATTTCCTTTTACAACAGAAGATTAATGTTGCTGTTTGTTGTTCTTAGAAGTGATTATTGGTTGGGCTTTTTTTCTTTGAACATCAATACATTCTTATAGGCATATTTTGTTTCCCTTCAGAGCTTGAATTTTAAACTTTTTAAGGAAATGGCTTTGAATTTTATCATGTCTTTTGCTTTCTAAGATAGAATAAAATATAAAAGTTTATGCAGTACATATACCACTAATGCCATTTGGGCAAGTGTTTATTGATTTCCTTTTAAATTTGTTTTTTCAGTAAGGAAGACTTTAATAGCACGAATACACTGTAATGGGAACTATATAAATGCTCTTAATTACTTCATTAAACAAAGGGTGCTCATTTGTTTAGCTTTACTATCATCAAAGGTAGCAACTGACCCCTAGCATTAAGGAAATCATAATCTGTTCCTTGTAGTAAAGAAAGAAGCCTGCTTCTCTTCTTTCAGAATCAAAATTTAAACTCACTGTGTATATTAAACAATTGAAAGTTATAAAAAGTGCAGTTCAGGGAGGTTAAGTGATTGCTCCAAGGTGTTATAGCTAATCCTTTTTTCCTACTTTAACAATTGAATTTAGTTCTCTCTTTTCATGTTATAAACTGAGTTGAAACAGCCTATAAAATTTTATGTAAGATTGGGGCGCATGGGTGGCTCAGTCAGTTGAGCGTCCGACTTCCTCAGGTCATGATCTTGCAGTTTGTGGGTTCGAGCCCCGCATCGGGCTCTGTGCTGACGGCTAGCTCAGAGCCTGGAGCCTGCTTCAGATTCTGTATCTCCCTCTCTCTCTGACCCTCTCCTGCTCACTCTGTCTGTCTGTCTGTCTCTCTCTCTCAGAAATAAATAAAACATTAATTTTTTTAATTTTATGTAAGATAAAAATATAAAGAAATAAAGGTATCAAAAAAGTATATTTGGAGTGGAATGATGGAGCCCAGAAAAGTGAGTATACACATCAAAGCATAATGCATGATCTTATAGTGTTCTTCAAGTTGGATTATAAATTTGCCTCTGAGTTACCTAGCAGCCAAAGCAAAAAGAGAAATCTGATTAATTACGGTAGTCAATCTGTATATTCACATAGTGTATAGCCAGATCACAATGTGTGTACGAGTGTATATGTATTCAATGCCAGTTGCTTAGGAAACATATGTTTTTCTTAGCCCAGAACTCTGAAATTTGTCTCTTTAGTGAAATATATGACATGACATCAATCTTTTGACTCCTAATACATGTTTCTTCCTATTGCCTACTTTAACTTGGTTCTTTGTGCTTTAAATATGAATTTTATAGTGGAATGGCAAAACTTTCCGATTACAAGGTAACCATTCCTGCTGTTACTCTTCTTTGTCAGGAATTCTTGTTAAATCATGGGCACAGATCTTTGCCACCTCCAAAGCCCAAAACCTGCTATTCCGGATCATAGATTGTTTACTGCTGCCACACACAGTGTTACAGCAAGAGAAGGAGCTGCCTGCACCCATGTTGATCGCAATTCAAAAGAGTCTTCCTTTGTATCTCCAGGTATAGTAAGTGTGGTTGCTTGAAAGTTAAAAACAACAAAACAAAACAACAACAACAACAACTTTGCCTTAAAACAATTTGCTAACTGCTGATTTGAAAACCATGCATTATAATTTCATTGTATGTGTGTACATGTGGCACTTTTGTTGAAGAAGTTTTAAATTCATTTTGTGTTTGGCCCTGAAACCAAAGATGAAAAAGACAAAATCTCTAAGAAGTCATTAAAGTTGAGAAAGGAGGCTGACTAGTGTAGACAGAGTAGTGTGTCCCATATTTCCTTAGAGGCTTCAGCGGTCTGCCAGCCAGCCAGAGGGGAAGAGACGCAAGAGAAGACCCCATAAAGGGGATAGTTGTAAAGGAGCCAAGTGAGTAAGAGCTGAAGGACTGTCAGAGGGAACAGCATTTAAAAGGCATGAGCTTGAAGAAAGTATGACACACTGGGGAAGAGCAGATAATTCTGTTGTGATCAGACACTCATACAGGAGAAGCCACATGTTTGAAGGTGTTCTTTGCCACACTAAGAAGTTTGGACTTGTTCTTTTACATGGGGATTTGTATGGATTGTTGATGGATTTTGATGGATTTTCATGGATTTTAGATAGGAAAGTGGGAACGACATACCATATTTACATTTTAGAAAGGTATTTCTTATGGCAACATCTAAGATAGTTGGTGTGGGAGTTAAGTTGGAGACTTGGAAGGCAGTGAATGGCAGCATCTAAGATAGTTGGTGTGGGAGTTAAGTTGGAGACTTGGAAGGCAGTGAGTAGTTCATTATCTGAAGGTTTTGAACTAAGGCAGTAGATGTAGAACTCACACAGCAGATTGTAGAAACACCTAGGAGCTCTGATTAAAAGTGCTTGCTAAGAGAGTGTTGTGGAGCAACTGAAAGGAATAGAATCTTCCTAGATTCCAAAGTGGGTCCTTATACAGATAGTGTTGCTAACTAAAATGGGCAATTCTAGAGATGTGGGGATGAAAATAATAATTGATTGCTGAACAGCTTTCATTTGAGGTGCTGTACACTGTCTAGATGGACACTTAGAAATACTGATCTAGTATTCAGAGGAAGATGGGTCTGGAAGATCCTTATTCATTAGTGTCTCCTAATGAAGTTAAGTGCTTCTTAATTTGGAGTTCATCAAGGGAAGCTGAGGAAGAAAGGGAGAATGAGATTTGTTTAGGTAACAAGGAGTCTTTTCCACAGATGGACTTTTTAAGACAGATTTGTATAATTTCTAATAAATTTTAAATTGGGTCTTTAACTTTGTGTTGATAATAACACTTAAAACGAAGTTTAGTTTGATGACAGAAAGATGAAGTGTGACCAGTTAGGGAATATTGGTGGGAAGGAATCTTGGGCAGCAGGAGAATCTGTAAAACATTCTCTCTGGCCCTTTTAAACCAAAATAGTACAGTAAGAGTTCTTATATGGATACCTGGCTGGCTCAGTTGGTAGAACATGAGAACTCTTGATCTCAAGGTTATGAGATCAAGCCTCACATTGGGCATGGAGCCTACTTAAAAAAAAAAAAAAAGAATTTTTTAAATCTTCATAAGTGGTAAGTTGAAAAATTTGGTGAATTTATCCATTTGGCAGAATTGACTTAGAGGTACACCTTTACTTTCTAAAAGGTACTCTGAGAGTTTTTTGGAACATATTTATTTATTACTTCATCATCCTCTAATAATGTGTTTTCTTTGAAAGGAAAACATTGAAGAAACTGAATAGAGGGGTATTCATTGCCTTTTTTCTTTCAGTTGTTTGCTAGTGTTTTAACAGTTTTTGCTACTTTTATTATAAATCTTTCAATATTTCTTAATGAGTGTATATGTATCCATAGCTAAAATTAATTATTTCTCTGGGAAAACACATCGTAAGTCGCAAAGTGCAAAATTATAAATGAATTTTTGGAATATAATTCATTGTGTTGGTGATTATATATATTTGGGAATACGCATTATTTAGTAACATTGGCAGAAAAAAAGTTTCTGTTTCTCAGGGTATTGGTTAAATTGTTTGTAAATATCAAACACTATAACCCATATGGACGCTATACAAATGTAAGGGATTAAATCAGCAGAACTCTTAACTTCTCTAAACCTCATTTTCCCCAGCTATAAAATTGGATATGTGATAATACCAAGTCAGTGTTTTTTTGAGAAATTTAAATGACATAAAGGATATAAAGCACATGGCACACTGCCTGACATATGAAACTCTTAGAATGAATTGTCATTATTCTGAGTCTTAATCTTCTGCATTTCTCTCCTGTCAATTTTTGTTTTAATTTATCACATTTCTTACCATGGAATATTTTTAGTATAAATTCTGAGTCTCAGATAAATGACCAGGACCAACATAAAAAAAACTGACCTAAAAATATATCTTATAACTTTGAAGTGACTCACAAACATAGTTGATGAGTGGGGTGCTCAAGTTCTCTGAGTAAGAGAAGAAGGAGGAAGCTTCCTTTGTCTTCCTGCACTTCTCCCCTGCTCTGTTTGCATACACCCCCAGAGACATGCATGTGTGGCTGGATACCAGCATGTGTGGCTGGATACACAGTGTAGGAGTCACACAAGCTCAGCGGCTCCCTGACCCTCATAAATATGCCCTTGTTGACTGTACTAAATCACAAATGCTGACTTGGATATTAATGCTAGGGACTAAATTAGTAAGTTTCTCAGTTATGTTTTCTAGCTTTTCCTTTTAGCATTTCTTCTCTTTTTTCTCCTTTAGGGCATGTGCATTGTATGTTGTCAGTCTCAGAATCCAAATGCTTATCTGAACCAGTTACTAGGGAATGTTATTGAACAGTACATCGGGCGATTTCCAACAGCTTCACCACATGGTGTAGGTCTTGGACAACACCCCATTTTGTTGGCATTGAGAAACTCCGCCGCTGTTCCACCAATGTCACTTCTAAAGAAATGCATTATACAAGTCATAAGGTACATCTAAATATTAAAAATAAGTGGTATTTACAATTCAGTTCACTCTTCTTCAGTGAGAAGTAACAAAGCATCCTAAAAGTACTGGCAACCCTTAAGATGCTGGTGGTTGAGAAACTTTTCTTTTCCCTGAGAAACATTATCTAAGTATTTACTAAAATGACTTTTGCTCACAGCAGCCTGAGTCAGTGCTCTTTAAATTGCCTTTTATCTGTACATAGCTATTATTTTCCTTATATATATTCTAAAGATACATACTTTTGTAGCTCTTATCAGATAAACAGTAATTGTATTTTCTCCTGTAAAACATATTAGCTATCTTTTTGAAAGATAATAACTAAATGAAAAAATGAATGTTAATATGTAAGAGGAAGCAGTAAGTCCCTTTTTGTTGGTCTACTCTGTGTCTTAATAACTTCATTTTATTATTGGATGCATAAATAAAACCTCTTGGGTTTTCTGCTACCTTTTACCTGCGACAGTAGAAGATTCAGTAATAGGAATGATCACTTCTTTGTCTTCGTGGAGTATTTAGCTTCATGTGAAATTAGTTTTTAAGCTTTAAGGCACTGTGGTGATATACAGGCAAACCTTGTTTTATTGCACTTCATAGATACTGTGCTTTTTACAAACTGAAGATGTGTGGTAACACTGCATCAAGCAAGTCTGTTGGCACCATTTTTCCAACAGCATTTGTTTCCTTCATGTGTCTGTGTTACGTTTTGGTAACTTACAGTATTTTAAACTTTTTTGTTATTGTATTGGTGACAGTCATCTCTGATCAGTGATTACAGCTCTCTGAAAGCTCAGATGATGGTTGGCAATTTTTTAACAATAAAGTATTTTTAAATTAAGGTATATACATTTTTTAGACATAATGCTGTTACACACGATAGACTACATACAGTGTAGTGTAAACATAGGTTTTATATGCACTGAGAAAGCAGAAAAATTCATTTGACTTGCTTTATTATATTATTTTTTATCGTAGTGGTCTGCAGTTGAACCCATAGTGTCTCTAGGGTATGTCTGTTTGTTATTCTCATCTAGTATTTTTTTCTGTGTTTTTAATGACTTGATAGTTTTAATGACCACTATTATCTATCACCTCTCATGACAGAATTCCATGTCTAAAATCTGTTCTGCCTTCTGAGCATTTTTGTGTGTTCCTAATGTTCTGTTACTGAGGTTTGGAGGCTTTATATTTTTGTTCCCTCTCTTTTGTCATTGTTGGAGAAATGACTGCTTCCTGCTTTTCACATCTCTCTTCCCTTCTCACATTATACACAGACCATTTCTGAACTCTCCCAACTACTTTTACTGTGCCTAGTCTTGTCTTCCAGTTCCACTCAACCAATGCCCTCAGATTACTTTTCTTGAAAGTCCATTCCATTATGGCACTTCTCTACCCCAAAACCTTCATTTGCTCCTTTTTTGCCTGTGGAATAAATTCCATATTCTTATAGCTCTTCATGGTCTGTCACTGAACTTTTTCAAATGTACAAGATTTAACATCATACACAAACTTTAATGAGATTGGTTTCATTATTGTCCTTCCAAAATGCTTTACATTTCCCTACATCACAGTTTTGTTCATAATATTTTCTCTATTTAAATGCCACGCCTCTGGGCTAAATTCTGTCTTGACTTTGTAAGACCTACATCTAATATCTAGTGTACTATGATGCTTCTTTCCTTCTTCTAAAATCATGTGCTCTGTTAAGATTCTGTTCACAGAACTGAGTATTTTTGCCTCACTTGTATCTGAATTTCCGACAAGACTGTAGTAGTCTACCACTATTTTTGAGACATTATTTCAGTAAGTGTAGTACAAACCAAATGACAAATGCTGAAGTGAAATTAAATGTTTAGGGTCATAAAACTGTCTTAAAGTCCACTGTTTACAATCCTAGCAGCTTTCATTGGCTTTCTTATTTACAAGGGAACACATTTTTCTCATGATTTCTAACTGAAGATCCCAAAATATAGCAGTTCCTTTTCTCTATTTTTTAACTACTCAGGAAAGGAATAGATTGTCTGCTGTGCTTTCCTCCATTCCATACTCCTCTACTCCTATAGTTCCCCATCTTTGTTAGGGCTCATTCCTCTCAATTCCTGAGAATTCTGGGGTTATCTTTCAAAGCACCTGTCACACTGTATTATGATAAGTCCTTTTTTCCTTATTCAACTTTTCCACTAGACATTGAGCCCATTGATTTCAGAGACCGTATTTCGTCTATGATTCAGCAGTAATCAAAAAAGACAAAGTGCTTGTCCTCAAAGATTGAATAAATCTTTTAATATGCAGTATTTGTTAGAACCCACTGTATATAGAGTAGAAATGATGAGGAAGACATAGTTCCTGCCCTTAAGGAGTTTATAATCCTTCATGATTTCTGTGACTCACTTTGGCAGATTTTCCTGCTTTGCAAAGACGTATGGATGTCTAGCTTCAATTTAACTATATGTGACCAATTTTTCCTTTTGTCTAGAGTTTTTAGAAACTGAGTAATTCTACTGAATTCTTCAGACTAAATTCTTCATTTATTCACTTAGGTGTATATACTGAATACCTATTAGGAACCAACACCTGTTTAAGAGGTAGAGATATAAAAATGAGTCAGATAAATTATTTTTATGATCTCTGTTGAATCCTAATGCTAAAATTTGTTTTGCTTTGAGAGAAGAGATTACATCCTAAATTACCTCTGATTATTTTTACTTCCTAAGAGAAGGAAAGAGATAAAGCTGGAATGGGAAGCCAGTTCCTAGGGCAGTCCTCTTATTGACTTGGAGAAATAAAACCCCTCCCAAATCCCTAAATAAATAAATGTGAAGAGAGATTTCTTTATGCAAATTTGACCTTAAGGAAAATGTTACATTGTTGAAGAGCTGATAGAGATTGGGCTCGTATTAGAAAAGAAAAAAAATTAACAATTAGGTTTTCATTTGGATTTTGATTAAGTTCATTGAAAGATCAGGTTGTTTTAAATTTAGTTTGTGTCTATAGCTAAAACATGGAAAGAGCCTAAGTGTCCATTAACAGATGAATGGATCAAGAAGATGTGGTTTATCTATACCATGGAATACTACATGGCAATGAGAAACAATGAAATCTGGCCATGTGTAGCAACATGGATGGACCTTGAGGGTGTTATGCTGAGCGAAATAAGTCAGGCAGAGAAGGACAAATATCATATGTTTGCATGTATAGGAGGATTAGGAGGAACTTGACGGAGGAACAAGGGGGAGAAGAAGGGCGGAAACGGTGGGGGAAAGGGAGAGAGGCAAACCATGAGAGACTCTTGAATGCTGACAAAAACTGAGGACTGATGGATGTGGGGGGGAGGGGGGGATGGGCATGGAGGAGGACACTTGTGGGGATGAGCACTGAGTGTTATGTGGAAACTAATTTGACAATAAACTATTTGTAAAAAAAAAAAAAAAATTTAGTTTGTGTCTGTATTTTATTTTGGCCCTTATCACACAGCGGATATGCACAGTCATTGCTTCTAAAATTTTGTGTTTGAGGATAGCATGGCCAAACACATATTTTTTAAAATTGTGCTTTATTAAGTTGAAGGGTAAAATTTGTCAATATTTTTAAAGAGTGTGACCTTTGATTTTGTTCACTGAAACTTTCAACAGAAGAACAAACAAAATTGTGCTTCTTTTTAGGAAGTCCTACTTTGAGGGTAAAGGGTCCCTGCTCCCTCCTCGCTTGGCATCTATCCTGGCCTTCACCCTCCAGCTCTTCAAAGAAACTAACATAGACATTTCTGAAGTCGAATTGCTCCTACCTGGCATCTTAAAATCATTGGTGTTGGTCAGCGAACCCCAAGGTTAGTTTGAAATCTGTGTTTGCTGTACGGTTCATAAATTAAGAAGGTACTCTTTCCTATCAGTTAAATGGATAGTTACGTGTTTAATTATTTCATATCAGTTTCTATATGTCGTGGCAGCCTCCAGCAGATATCGGAGAGTGGGCATGATAAGATGGTTAAACACTGACATGTTTCAGTGTCATTTACTTCTGTTTTCTTTTTTCCCTGAAGGCAAACCGTTTATTTAAGGGCTACTTCCTGTAATTAGACTTGTTAACCTTTTAAAGAATATTTGTTTAATCTGACTGCAGTATTAAATGCAACTTGTTACCTACCATGTGGTGAGGGGTCGACCTGAGTTCTTGCGTTGAGGTTGCCGCTAGAATATCTAAGCCTGTTTCGCAGGGAAACCTGTAAGGATCCTTTGATCCTAGTCCTTTTGTTCTCAGTCTCATCAGCCTTACTGCTAGGGATCTCTTTAAAATATCATTTATTTGATCTCCAGTTTATTGGGAATATGTAGAAGAGTAGCCATAGCTCTATCCTGAAGGAGTTTTTAGTGTAAATAGGATGCTCTGTGTGTAAGTGTGTATGTGTTCTCCTGAAGCTGTGATTCATGGTTCAGGGCAGGGCTCCTTGATGCTTCTACCTAAGTACCTCTAACCTCTGTGATGAGTGAGTGCGGTGTGCATCCTGTGGAATCTGAGGGCACCGCCCCAAGTGGTAAAGGTCAGAGAGCTCTTTGAAAGGTTCCATTTCATCTCAAAATGTACGCGTATTTTGTTTAAATCTATATTTATTTTAATAATTAAAATGCTTGTTTTCTTCCTGCTCCCAAGCATGGTTTTACAAAAAATGTGTTCATTTTTTGTATGAACATATTATAATGTGTTCATGTGGAATGTCCTTACCTGAGAGTAGCATCTCTTCACTGAAAAATACCCTGGTAGACCCCAGGGTCATCTTTAGAAATTTTGTCTTCATTGAAAACTTACACATACTTTCAGTGAAAGCCTACTGTGATGTGCAGTACAAAATTTGTTGAGACAGAACAGAGCAGGTATAAAGTTTTAGCTAGCCTTTGTTTTGGTTACAGTAATTATCAGGAAGGGGGCCAAGGTGTGGAGGTGAATTTTGCTGCTCACTTCTAGCTGGTGAGTGCGTAACATGTTCGACATGGGTAGAATACACAATTCACAGTGTCTGCATTCCTGTCTTTGTAAGCTGAGGAAGTAGTATGAAACACAGATTTGTGTGCTTGGCTCAGAGGAAATTCCCTCTGACTCTCCTTGTGGTCTCACTGCTTAAAAGAATGATTTGTAAAATCATAGAAAGTTAGTCTTACTAAATGACTCCTCAAGTCCACTCCTAGGTATATGCCCATGAGCATGTTTAACATATATCCACTCAAAAACCTGCACTGTAGTGCTGAAAGAATTCCAGTTCTGGCACAAGAACATAAGGAGTTCTGCTGACCTACTCCCCAGCAAAACTGGTGAATTTTTTTTAAAAGAAAGCATTTAAAGTCTCGAAATAGTCCTAAGAGTAGACCAAGTATAGAAACATTTAAGAAAATCTACCAAAACTTGATAAAAACGTCAGGAATCTGTGGTATTTGAATGAAGACCACTCCTTTCTTTATTCTCTGCCCCTCCCCCACTCACATGCACACATGCACTGTCTTTCTCTCTCAAAATAAACATTGAAAAAATAATACCACAACAGAGGGGGAGAGGAATGGAGTTATGTAAGAGTAATGTTTCTATATTTCACTGAATTAAATTCATATAAATCTGAAGCTCTGATAAATTAAGATATGCCTGATATGCCTAGAGCAACTACTAAGGAAATAATTCAAAACTAATGAAAAATCATTAAAGAAATTAAAATGCTATGTTTTAAAGTATGCATGTAATACAAAAAGCAGTGAAGGAGATTAGAAGAACAAAAAATACAAGACATTTGGGGCGCCTGGGTGGCTTAGTCGGTTAAGCGTCCGACTTTCGCTTAGGTCATGATCTCCGTGTCGGGCTCTGTGCTGACTGCCACCTCGGAGCCTGGAGCCTGTTTCAGTCTGTGACTCCCTCTCTCTCTGACCCTCCCCTGTTCACGCTATCTGTCTCTCTCTCTCCTAGAAATAAATAAAACATTTAAAAAATAATAATAATAAAAATTTAAAAAAATACAAGACATTTAGAAAACAAAAGGTAAAATGACTAATATAAATCCATTTATAGCAATAATAATGGTAGTTGTGAAAGGATTGAACAAACTAATCAGAAGTAGAGATCATTGGAATGAAAAAGGTAAAATAAAAAGATCTAACACTCTTCTATCTACAAGGAACACTTTAGATTCAAAGATTGAAATAATAAAAGGGTAAAAAAGCTACATAATGCAAACTATAACCATGGAAACCTGGAGTGTCTATACTCATAACAGATAAAATAGATATTAGGCAAAAAAAACCTGTTACTAGAAATAGAGATGTTTTATAGTGATAAAGGATCACTGTATTTAACAACTTATAAACATGCACTTAACAAAAGAGCACCAGAATATATGAAGAAAAAACAGAAATGAAGGGAGTAAGAGCTGCAGGATATTTGTTGTGTAAAGAACTTGGAAGTTCTCACTCTCACTACAAGAAACAAATCAGAATAGACTAATAGTCAACTCTTCTTAGATGCCTCAGGGAATTGAGGTCATAGAGCAAACTGTTATCCCCAAAACTCAGCATAGAGCAGTTTGTCAAATCCAGTGTAAATATTTATTCCAGTGTCAGCTCCTGGTCCTCATAAGCTGTGATTCTCTGAATCTATCTGTCTCTCCACTTAAATGATCTAATTTTTTTTTCAAAATAATAATTGGTGATTATACCTTATGGATAAGCAAACTGAATGGCAGCATGTTCTAAGGATTCAGAGAGAAGAATTTGGAATACTGTGTTAAAAGGCACCTGTACCACCCTGAAGGAATGCAATGTTATTCGAAAGTAGAGTTAGAGTAGTTGTATGCTACAGACTCTGGCACAACCATGAAAAATAATTTTGAATTAAGTGTATTTGATTACACTAAAAGAAGAGAAAAAATGGAATCATATAAAATGCTGAATTAAAACCTTCAGAAATGGCAGACTAAAAGCAAATGATTAGAAAAAAAGAACAATAACAATGAACAGAAAAGTTATATGTATGTGGAGCACCTGGGTGGTTCAGTCAGTTAAGCACCAACTTTGGCTCAGGTCATGATCTCATGGTTTATGCTTGGGATTCTCCCTCTCCTCTCTGCCCCTCTCTGACTCGCACTTTCTCTCAAAATAAATAAACTTAAGAAAAGTTACATGTATGGTAGATAGTAAACCAGTGATCTCAATAATAATTTTAATTATAAATGATCTAAGTAAACCAATTAAATGACATACTGGATAAAAAAATAAAGCACACTATATGTTATCTACAAGAAACCCACTTTCAATATAAGATACAGATTAAAAGTAAAGGGATGGAGAAAAATGCTAGCACAATTCAAAATGAAGCTGTAGTAGCTGTTTATGTCAAACAAAGGAGACCTCAGAACAAGTAAACTTATCAGGAATAAGGAGGGGCATTACAGGGGCAAGTGGGTGGCTCGGTCCTTAAACATCTGACTCTAGATTTCAGCTCAGGTCATGACCTCACGTTTCGTGAGTTCAAGTCCCACATCAGGCTCTGCTCTGGAAGTGTGGTACCTGCTTAAGATTCTTTCTCTCTCTCTGCCCCTCCCCAGCTTTCTTCCTCCCTCCCTCCCTCTCTCTCTCTAAGTAAATAAATAACCTTAAAAAAAAAAAGAGGGCATTACATAATGACAGACCGGGAGTAGAGATAACTGCTTCAGTCTGATGAAGGACATCTATGAAAATCTTATAGCTAACATCATACTTAATGGTGAAAGATCAGCTGCTTTCCCCCTAAGATTAGGAATAAGACAAGGATGTTCACTCTTGCCACTTGTATTCATATTGTACTGGAAATCCTAGTCAGAGCAAGAAAAATAAATAAAGGCATCTAGCTTGAAAAGGAAGTAAAACTAACCCTATGTATAGATGATTTGGTTCTATATATACAAAATCCTAAGCACATCACTAAAAAGCTATTAGAACTTATAAACAAGTTCAGCAAGGTTGCAGGATAAAAAATTAAGACACAGGGGCGCCTGGGTGGCTTAGTCGGTTAAGCGTCCGACTTTCGCTTAGGTCATGATCTCACGGTTCGTGGGTTCGAGCCCCGCGTCGGGCTCTGTGCTGACTGCCGGCTCAGAGCCTGGAGCCTGTTTCAGTCTGTGACTGCCTCTCTCTCTGACCCTCCCCTGCTCACGCTGTCTCTCTCTCTGTCTCTCTCCTAGAAATAAAGAAAACACTAAAAAAAAAAAAAATTAAGACACAAAAATTAATTCTATTTCTACATACTCTCAATGAAAATCTAAAAATGAAATTAAGAAAATGATTCCATTTACAGTTAAAAAAAACAACTAGGAATAAATTCAAGAAAAGAGAAATGCAAACTTAAGATCTGAAAAATACCAAACATTGAAAAACATGGGAGAATATCTGAATACATGGAAAACAGCCTGTTTCATGTACTGGAATTTGTAATATCGGTAAGATAGTGGTATTCCCCAAATTGATCTACAAACTCAGTGTAACTCCAGAATAGCTGAAACAGTCTTGAAAAAAGAACAACAAAGTTGGAAGATTTATACTTTGCAATTTGAAAACTTAGTACAAAACAGCAGTGCTCAAGACAGTGTGGTATTGACATAATGATAAACATGGATCAGTGGATTAGAATTGAAAGTCCAGAAATAAACCCAAAGGTCTATGGTCAACCGATTTTTTTTTTTTTTTTTTTACAAAGGTGCCAAGATGATTCAGTGGGGAGAAAACAAGTAGTTCAACAAATTGTGCTAGGTCAAACAGATATCCACATGCAAAAGAATGGAGTTATACCTTTATTTCACACCATACACAAAAATGAATTCAGAATAGATCATGGACCTAAATGGCTGAGATAAAACTACAAAACTCAGAAAAAGCAAAGTAGTAAATCTTTATGATCTGGATTTGGCAATGAATTGTTAGGTGTGATAACAAAAGTGCAAGGCAAGAGAGAGATACATTGGACTAATCAAAATTAAAAACTTTTCATGTACCTGGTTCATTAAGTCAGTTAGGTGTCCGATTCTTGATTTTGGCTCAGGTTATGATTTCTTAGTTTGTGAGTTCGAGCCCTGCATCAAGCTCTGTGTTGACAGCACAGAGCCTGCTTCAGATTCGGTCTCCCTCTCTCTCTGCTGCTCCCGTACTCGCTCGCTCTCAAAAAAATAAATAACCCATTAAAAAGAAAACTTAAGAAAAAATTTAAAACTTTTGTGTTTCAAAGGACAATCAAGAAAGTGAAGAAAAGACAGTTTATAGAATGAGAGTTGCAAATCATTTATAGGTTATGGAACTTGTACCTGGAATATATAAAGAACTGTTGCAACTCAGTTATAATTTTTTTTTAAAATAGGCAAAGGGGACACCTGGGTGGCTCAGTGGGTTATGCATCTGACTCTTAATTTCAGCTCAGGTCATGATTTCATGCGTCCTGGGATCAAGCCCCCTGTCAGGCTCTGCACTGACACTGCAGAGCCCGCCTAGGATTCTCTTTCTCGTCCTCTCTCTCAAAAAAATAAACTTACAAAAAAAATAGGCCAAGGATTTGAATAGACATTTCTTCAAATGGCTAATAAGCACCTGAAAAGGTGTTCAGCATGATTAATCATTAGGGAAATGCAAATCAAAACCACAGTGAGATACCACTTCATACTCACTAGGTTGGATATCATGAAAAAGTCAGATAATAACAAGGTTTGGAAAACATGGAGAAATCAGAATCCTTAGTTACTGCTACTGAGATTGTAAAATTATGTAGCCACTTAGGAAAATAGTCTGGTCATTCCTTAGATCATTAAACATAGAGTTACCATGTTCCCTAGCAATGTCACTCCTAGACATATACCCAGGACTAATGAAAACATATGTACACACAGAAACTTGTGTACTCGTATATATACCAATTTATTATTCATAGTAGCCAATAGATAGTCAACTGATAGTTTCTTAATGTGATATATCCACACAATGGAATATTATTTGGCCATAAAGAGGAATTAAATACTGCTGCATGCTACACAACATGTATGAACTTAGAAAACATTATTTTAAGTGAAAGAAGCCAATTACAAAAGACCACATATTGTAGGGTCGATTTGTATGAAATGCTCAGGCTATTAAATCTATAGAGATAGAAAGTAGATTTGTGGTTACTTTTAGGGTATATCAGAAAATAGGGAGTGGTAGCTAAAGAGTGTCAGGTTTCTTTGCAAAGTAAATATTCTAACATTGTAGTGATGGTTGCACAATTCTGTGAATATACTAAAAACTATGGAATTGTATGTGTTACATGAGCAAAGCTATTAATGTAAAGCAAAACTAAAAAGAAAAAAACCAGCTTTTTAAAAAGTTCAGTTCAATTAAATAAACCAAGATGGCAAATATTTTTTTTTAAACACAACTGTACACTGATATCCGAAGCAGCTTGATTTGTAATAGCTTCAAAATGGAAACAACCCAAATGTCCAGGAAATAAAGCATGAATAAACAATGTGGGGTATCGCTATATAGTGGAATATTATTTGGCCATCAAAAGAAATAAAGTACTGAAATACTCTACAACATGGATGAACCTTAAAACATAATGTTAAGTAAAAAGGTAATCACAGAAGACCGTATATATATAATTCTATGTATACGAAATTTCCAGAAGAGTCAAATCCATGAAGACAAAGGTAGATTAGTGGTTGCCAGGGCCTGGGGGAGGAAGAAAGTTGAGAATGTGACTGTTAATGGGCATAAGGTTTTTTGGGGAAATGGTGAAATTGTTCTGAAATTAGATAGTGGTGATGCCTTCTCAACTCTGCGACTATACTAAAATCCAATGAATTGTACACTTTAAAAGGTTGGTTTTTATGATAGGTGAGTTATACTTCAATAATGCTGTTATTATTTTTTTTAAATCAGTGCTTACTCTTCTTTATGAAGACTGTTTCTGGTACTTACTTTTTCTACAGGAGAGCTTTTGGGGTTTGTTTTTCAAGAAAATGTCTTTTAAGAAGAACCAATTATACTGATTTCAGAATTGTATCTAATATGAGGAGTTATTCTCATATTAGTTATTCTTCACTATAAGAGAAGATAGTGTGCTATATCTTACTTATCCACCATCCTCATACCACAGAGAACATTACTAAGTACATGTGATTAACTTAAGTTCATGTGTATCCTGTTTTGTGCTCCTGCTATAATGGATTAGAGTTTCTGAAATTTTTATTCTTAGAGTGCTTTTTCCCCAGGAATTTATATTAGATGTGCCAAAAACAACAAAAATTTAGTAATATTTGGAACATACTAAATTTTCTACTTTCTTTCTTGATATTTTGCCATTTTTATGTACAAATGCAGTTTTAAAGGATTTGCTTAAATATTTAAGGAATACAAATGTTCTTTTTGTAACTTTGCTGTCTTTTTTGAAAGGACGATAGCATCACAGATAGTTGATTTATATTACACACATATATCTTTGGCTAATTTTAAGTGAAGGTAAATTGTTGGTGGTTTCTAATTTGTTAGTGAGTAGGAGGGAGGAATATGCCTATGAATTTTAAAAAATCAGTCTGCTTGTCTGTAAATCAGCTGAATGATTAAAAGCTGTCTTTTGTCAGTATGTAACTGCTTGTAGGATTAGGATGATAGAATGTTTTTGAATATGGGCTCTTCCGAAGAAGCCTGTCTTTACATTTATTTTTTCAGTTATGAGAGTGTAGAAAATAGACTCTTATGCTTTTTATATTTTCTTAAAATGGGAGATAAGGAGATAGGGAGATACACTTTAAAACAAACCAAAAACTCAGAACTATTTCATTTTGAAAAAACAAAACTGTACAAACTTTAAGAAAACAACATATTTCTCTAAATTAAGAGTGTTCATGAAAATGAGGATCCAGATGGTCAATTCAGACACAGTGTGTGATGCTATAATTTTTCCTCCTAGTGAAAAGGCTGGCCACAGAGAACCTGCAATACATGGTAAAAGCCTGCCAAGTGGGGTCAGGAGGAGAACCCGCCGCCCAGCTGACTTCTGTGTTTAGGTAACTGGAAAATACGCCAACTGGCAAGGGGACTATTGCCAGCCATTTGACAGCCAACATATTTTTTAAATAACTAATTATCCACAACATAATGTGTTACTACTTGTTATAGTATTTCAATTATTATATTTTTGGCAGTGGTTTTGTTACATTGTGTTATTTTATTAAAAAGACAAAAGTGCCAGAGAAGAAGAGGAGTGAACTGATTTAAAATTACCTGAGAATTGGGTGAAGAAGACTCCTGTATGTATGAGAGAAAAAATCAGGATATGTGGGTCATGATGACAGGTGCACAGGCCCTCAGAGCTGCTACACATGTTACTCAGGATCCAGTGTAGAAGTATGTCCCTGATTCTCTCACTTGCTATCGATACTATAGTCCCAGAAGGCTTCATTTGCAAAGCACAGACTGTATAGGAGTAGACCTGATGTTAGTTCCCAAGAACAATAATGCAACTTGAGGAACATTTTCTGTGTTTTGTGTTGTAACCTTTTGTGTTTTGTTGTTGTTTCCTGCCATGCGTCCTCTAGAATCTTGTGCTTTCTGTTAGGGCAGTATTTTTAAATATTTCTTTCTCACAGTTTCTACCAGTTCTCCTTTATTGTATGTAAATCTGCCCTAGCACTGCCATGAGAAATAATATGGGTCCGTTTTCTTCTGTGTTGGCACTTTGATGCCTCAGTTTGCTTTTTTCATGACGTAATTGGCACTTATCAGTTGTTTACAATTTTAAATTGTGATCACATGAAATAGTGGATTTGTAAGAAATATTAAACCCTCAGAAGGAGCAAGGATTTTATATGAACGAAGAAGATTGCATGTTTGTTATGTACAACTTACTAAGCTAGGTGGCTTTTATTTTGTTGAGGGAGAGTGGAAATTTTAGGGTTAAAACATATAATTCTTTATAAAGGCCTCCTGTGGGTCTAAAATCTCCAGATAAGGAACGTAAACCTTTGTATTATTAGTAACTTGCTTTTCTCATAAGACTATTGTTTGATCTATCTAGAAATACGACGAACTAAGAAATACCTAGGAAGCTGGACTCCTTTCTTCTACATCCTTACCGCTCAGATTCTGACATGCAGAGAATAGCAGCAAAGTCCCTGGGATGGGATTTCCCCCTTGTTCTCCCTCCTCGGGTTCCTACCCTTCCCTCTTCCTACCAGTGCCATGGTTCTGGTCATGCATGGCTCACACTGCAATAAGCCATTTCTGTCCTTTCTTTTTAAGTGTTATAAAGAGTCTTCATAGGGCATCCAGATTCTTAAGGTCATCTTACATAAAATGACCTTTCTTGTGTTCAGGTTACAGCTGATTGTTATATAGATACCAGCCCAGGGAACTTCCCCAGAAGTAATCCTATGTAACTTGATTTACTTTCAGGCATTTTATCCAGGATTATGGGATGAGATATGATTATCAGATTTACAGCATTTTAGAAACAGTGGCAGCATTGGATCAGCAGGTTGTTATCCACTTGCTTTCTACCCTCACTCAGTGTCTGAAAGATTCAGAGAGGAAATGGGGCCTTGGCAAAAATATCGCACAACGGTACGTTTGATAATTTTATTACATTCTTTTGGGCAACAATTATAAAATTTAGATTCGTTTCCTAGAAATGGCATATTTTCCCATTCCTAAAAATTTGGGGTATGTTTGAGTTGATAAATGTTTCCATACTATGATTGACATATTCATTCACATACAGTTCTTTTCAAAATGACCATTTTGGAAAGCTCTATGTTTCATCAGTGCCCTATTGCTCAAAACACGGTCAGCATTCCTCACTGGGAAGTGGACTTTAGAGCCTCAGATATGTTACTTTTTATAAAATCCATGGTGGCATTATCTGTCCTTTGAGTTGTGCCTTGATATACTGAATCAACTGTATCATGTATATCCAGTGAGTATGATAAGTGACTCAATTAAATAATATGGTTTTGGGTAAAAAATAAATAATAGGCCTTTTTTCTGATACGCTTACAATCCAATTTCAGATTGTGCTGGACTATGTAACATAATGCAACATTATGGAAATAGACCTATAGTTCCTAAAGAGGTTATTTTAGAGGAGTCAGCACTCATGAGAAGTCATACATCCCAAGTTTGAAACAAAGAATCAAAGTACTTTAGTCATATATAGTGTGAGAGAGAGAGAGAGAGAGTGTGTGTGTGTGTGTGTAGACAGACATTCAGGTAGACTCAGTTTGTAAATACTTCAGTGAAAAATAGTGGAAAAGGTAATAAATATACCTACTTTTTCTTTTTTCTTAAACAGGGAAGCCTATAGCAAACTTTTATCTCACCTAGGACAAGTGGGACAAGATGAAATGCAGAGACTGGAGAGTGATAATACCTAACATATTTTGTGACTTGCCTTCTCTATTATAACTGTCTGAAGCCACTTTGCAGCATTCTGATTCATACTTCTAATTAATTATATAATGTTCTGTTAAAAATATTTTCTAGGATTTTTTTCTTACATACCTGTAAGTATATATAAAGTACATAAATAAGAAATAAATAAGAAAATTAATTAAGTATATTATAGGACCTTTGGAACTTGGCAGAATTGCATTCTCTTCTGAAGAGTTTTTAGTTAAACTAAAGGAACTTTTTCTAACTGTGACTGTTATCTGTGTATGTCTGTTAAGCAGATCTGTACCAGTTGATCCAGGAACTTTTCACTGTAATGTGACTTTGTGTCTTGTGAGTGATTTGCTTGTTATGTTTTAGTATGGGGTGTGTGTGTGTGTGTGTGTGTGTTTTAACATTATTTGGCTATTCTCTGCTGGTTTTGGGGGAAAGGGGGTTCAGGAGATGGGCTTGTATGTCTGTCATCTTTTGTTATACTGTGTGTGAGGCAAGTTAATAAATGCCCAGCACACTTAACTCTGTGAGGAATGAGACTTGAGTCTGGCTAAATGAATTTACAGATAGTATATAAAATGTTTCAAAACTTAAGCCAACGATGTTTATGCTTAGGTCCCAACAATTGTCAGATTTTTCTTCTTTGGTCATCCTTTGTGGGAATTTATTAAAAGACCTCTATCAGGAAGAGGATAAATAAGACCCTTTAAGAGAAGATGACATCTAAAAAATCTTCAGATTACATTATTCACAGAAGATTTCTAAGAAGTTAGCTGATATATCTCATTGTCCACCAGTTAAAGCCTTTTATAATTTAGCATCTTATACTATGTTTACAGGGAACCATTTTAGTTTCCATTAGCAGCTATTGTGTCTCAACTCTTTAACTATTTCATCCAGATTTTTATCTTACCAGTTTGGCTCTTGTCCTTGACTCCTTTTTGTGGTGAGCATTATTTGGTGAAAGAACTCCAGTCCTAGTGTTGGGAACCCACCTAGGTCTCAAAGCCAGCTCTGCTTTGTAAACTTGGGCAAGTCACTTAACCTTGCTGAGCTACAGTTTCTTCATGGAGAAAAAAAAAGAATGCTAATCCTTTTTCTGTTTTACGGTGTCCTGGTAAGAATCGGGGGATAATGTATGTGAAAACGTATCGGGGACATATGTTCTACATGAGGTGTACAGATCACTAATCATTCATGCACAAAGGTAACTTTGTCCCTCTTTCTCTAATAGGTTGTAGATGAATGAGCCCCCTTTTTTTCAATTTTTTTCTTACACGTGTTTTGCTAACTTTACAATAACTTAGTTTTCTTCTTGTGACTCTAGTGTTTATCATTCCCTCCCTTTTCTGACTCAAGAAGTATCTTTAAAGCTGAAGTGTATTGCAGTCAGCAAACTATACTTATTAATCCTCTCCTTACTGTAATGTGTGAACTCTAAAGGAGTGTCTATTGTTTTCATGACATACAAATAGTCTGTTCCTCCCCATCCCCCAGATTAGTTGTTAGTACTTCAACAAATGGAACGAATAAAACTTCGTTAAGGTTACTTAGTAGACTTTAAAGCAATGAATTTCCTTTCAGTATTATAGTGACTTATTAAACTTAATATATTGCTTTGCAAATTCCAGCAAATGAAGCTTAATCTATTTAAGGTGATGCTTTTAAAGAAGTTATTTATGTGTATATATATATTTTTATTTTCAAAGTAGGATTAATAAGATAGCTTTGAGAATCATATTTCTTAGATTATGAAGCTTTTAAGGGATGAGAAAAGCTGCTTCTGAATCATGCATTAGGGTACATGTCTATAGATGCTAAGAATAAATAGCTTATAGTTTAAAAATCAGTAACAAAAAAAATTTTGACAATACATATGTATATATATGTGTGTGTTTATATAGAAGTGAAATTTTAAAGGCGCTGTTGTAATTGAAAGAAAAATTTTTGACTCCGTTTATTTTCTTAAAAATCTTCACAGACCCTTAATACAATAATCTTGCCTTTTTCTATTCCTGCTTCCTTCATATGTGCTTTCCCCTAAAGAACCTGTATTCTGTAGGGCTGCTGCTTCTACCTCTCTACTGTAAGCCATTCTCTTCTGGTGCAATCTGAGAGTGCGTTCTCATTTCTCATGTCCCTTGGCCAGACATCTGTGTTTTCCTTCATCTTCTCAGCCCTCCCTTGGTGATACTCCTCATTCCTACATAATGTACTTTGAAAGTATCCCATGTTCTCCTTTCTGGTCCCCAGTGGTGAGATCTGGCTCTTCACTTGCTCTGTCTCCGCATTCTTCTAGTAGTGAACTGCTAACACTAGCTCATAATTTCATCTCTAAAGTCTATTTCTAGTGCTGATTTCTCCCTAAACCTCTCTAGTTGGAGCCTCTTGAAATCTCAAAGTAACATGTCAAGCTGTACTTGTCACTTATTTTAAACTAGCTCCTGCCTTTTCTTCCCAGGGAATACACTGTTTTTGCATGTTATTTAGCCTTGAAACTTCAGAAGCATCTTGGATTCTTATGTGTTCCCCACTTTCAGGTTAACACCAGTATGGACTTTTGCTATTTTTTTCTCTTTTTCCCTTCCTGTACACCCCAGCTGTCTTTTCTACTGGGCACTATTGATCTTTCTTACCTTCTTATCTCTGATCTCCTTTCCTGTAATTCATCCTCACACAGTTCTGACATGAGTGTTGCTAACATAATCCTTTCCTCCTGTTCCATTTCTGCTCAAGGACCTCCAGTTACTTGCCAGTGTCAGTAAGCTGACTTTCAGTCTCGTCAGGAGACTTTCTGCTATCTGACTCTACCTTTTCTATGCAAACTTAACTCACGCAGGAGACTAGACTGCCTTAGACATCTGAATGCCATGTTCATTCTGCACTCTGAGCTTCATTCAGCTTGCCAGCAGAGAATACCACCCTTTCTATAGATACCTAGCCTTGAGACACTTAAATAGGAAGACAGTTAAAATCTACATTTTGGACATAGGAGTATTCTAGTCAAATAATTTCAGTAACATATCAGAATGTAAAAGAGATGATTGAAGGACAACAGAGTGGTAGAAGGACTTTATTAGACTTTCAGATTTGGTTAGGATTTAAATTTTAATTGAACATTTAATTAGGTTTTCATGGAGTAAAAAACATGGAGTAGGATCTCTTTACAGAAATCTTTTAGTATTGACTTCATTTGCATTAGAAGAGTTTCATACTTTAAAACTTTTGTATCTTTACCTATTCCTAGAATGTTTTTTCTTAAGCTTTTTGATTTGAGTTTTTCTACCTGGGAATCTATATTAAAAAAAAAAACCTTATCTGTAGCCTGTGTGTCTGTTCTTTACCCATTATTATTTTCTTTCATGCTTCATCACAAATTTTTAAAACCACTTTGCTCTTAAAGAATTACATGTACTTTAATAGAATATTTGATAGCTTTTATTTTTACATTCCCTTTGTTAAAATTATCTGTTATATAAAAATTTGACAAGTTTCTGTAGTTAGAAAAAGCCTCTAGGAAACCTATTTTCCTAAATCCTATAGATTTTACGTAAATCTTAAATTTTTCCAAAAACTCATCTCCTGCCTTCTCCTCCTAGGGTTAAAAATACTGCCTTTTTATTCAAGTACATAGTATGCCAATATAAATACCATGTTTTGTTTGCTTAAAATGGTTGGGGAAACTAGCAAAGTAGTATATTTTTTCAGATATTTAATACTAGATTTGTATTTTAATTCTGTAATAATCTATATTGCTAAGGTTACCAAAATAAGTACATGATTGGAATTGAATAACTTCTGTTTATTAAAGTTTTTGGTGTGCTAGTAGTTTTCCAATTTATAGCATTTATTACATTTGTGAATTGTGTTTTCAGAAAATTCTGGGCCTTATTGTATATTGATGTGTATAAGTTAATTGTACATATAATATATAATTTTTAAAATGTATATATTTTTACTGCATCCATGATTATTCTGCTTCCTCTTTTATGACAGATTATTTGAAAACCAAAATAAAAATGAACCATATCACTTGGAGGAATAATTCTGTCTTGTTCCTGTTTTCATATTGTGTGGTAAAACAATAGAAAGGTATTTTTGTAGCTGAAAGGTATACAATATACATGGGGTTAAACTGTGTAGAAAACATGAAGACAAAAAGGAAGAAAAAATATCCTAATCATAACCTTATTGGTATTTTGTTATTAAGACTCTTAAGGAATTTCATTGTACTTTACAAACACTGTTTTAGAGATTAATGTCTTTGCCGTCTTTTCTTCCCACACAGAGGAACACTGTGCTACTACCTATGTGGTACTGTGTTTTCTTTTACTGTGAAATCTTGAAATGGTGTTTAAGTGGTTGGAATTTTCATGCTCTTCCTATGGAAATTCACATTAACCTAATTTAACTACAGATATGGTCTGTAATTTTGAAGAGTAAAAATAGAGGAGGAATTACCATAGTTCACTTAAATAGAAAATATATATTTGAATAGTTTCAGTGGAATTTGATTTTATGACCCCAGTTTTCTGGAAACTTCATTAGCTCTTATTAACTTGAGGAAAATGATCTAATCATAAGCATTTTGAGTTTTATTTTTCCTAGGAATGATGTACTTCGGAGGCTATCTTTGGCTGTACTGTAAAGAATTATTTCAAAAACCATATAAAACTTTCAAATTCTGAGTTCAGTTCTGTAATATTAGTGAATAATACATTAAAAGTTCACCAACAAAGGGTTTGATAATGTACTGATTTGTTTTATATGAATAGTTAGAAATCTATACAGAAAATACCAAGAGTAATCTCAGGCTACCTTTTCATTATTAGTCAGGCAAGCTTATTTTTAGACCATTTTCCTTTCATTCGTTGGATATAGGATCTGGGATTACAGGTGTAATGGTTTTATAAGGTAAAATGGCTGGAGGTAAATTCATGTATCAAGTAGGAATTTTAATAAATCTGAAGTACTTCTTAGATTCTTGTTGAAAAGATGAAATACTAGAGTCATTTTCCTAACTTGGTATTTAAAATTTTTAGTTTATATGATTTATACCTTTTAAAGAGATGCTCTGTCATTCTTCTAAATATCATATTAGTATCACTTTTCAAAACTGTAAAAGTTACTCTTAAGGTTTTTTTTTTGTCTGAATCTCTGGTTTTTAATTTACTTCCCCCCTTACCACTAGTCTCCTTCTGCTCTTTAATCTGAATAACCAGATTATTTAAATTTTTATGGGGTGCCTGGCTCAGTCAGTTAAGCGTCCAACTTCGGCTCACGTCATGATCTCGTGGTCCATGGGTTTGAGCCCTGCATCGGGCTCTGTGTTGACGGCTCAGAGCCCGGAGCCTGCTTTGGAATCTGCGTCTCCCTCTCTCTCTGCCCCTTATCTGCTCACACTCAGTCTCTGTCTCTCAAAAAAATAAGTAAATGTTTAAAAAAATGTTAGTTAAAAAAATTTAAAGTTTTTAGGTATAATAATGTAAAAAGTTAGTGAATTTTGTATTTAGGATTTAAAAAGTTTGCTTTTTATTCACTTCTGATTACTAAATGTGGTTACATGAATAAAATGACAACTTCCTGTTGTAAGGTAAGGATTGCTTAAACAATTAAACTATGCCAAAGGAGAAAAGTCCAAATAAAGTCTTCGTTTTAGGACTTAGGTCCTAACAAAATCAGGAAAAGGGAAAAACTTATGTTCTCCTTCTTGAATTTATGTTCAAATGTAATTTTTATTATATATATATAGTTATAGACAAAGCAAATCCAAAAACCTAGCCTAAATAAGAATTCTTATGCATTATTAAAAGTGGTAGTAATAAAATATGTATTGGTGGTGGAGGAAGAGTCCCACAAGTGCTCAAGATTGACATAACCTTTAACAAAGTGGAAAAACGTTTATTAGAACTACCAAGTCTAGGTTCACATTTATGTCAGAGCACTTTATGGTGCCTAAATTAGTACAGCTAATTTTTTTTGAGCTTTGAAATGTCATTTTTCACTAAATGAGTTTAAACGAGATGTTTGAATTATTATTTGAAGCAAGAATTTGTACCGACTTAGGAATCTGGCTTTGGTAAACTCCCCTTTTCCTAATTAGCATCTTTTCACATGCTTTTCAGAACCATTTCTCCCACAGCATGTGTTCCAAGTTCTATTTAGTAATTTTTAAGTAATTTCAAAAATAATCTCCCCATTCAGTTACAAGGTTCTAAAGATAGTAAAATACCTTGTAATTTGAGTAATTTTTTTTTCTTAAATGAAGTACTTCAGAGCATTTGCCTAATCCTCACAACATTGTTCTGAAATGATACAGAAATCAATAATTATCCTCCTTAAAGAGAGGGAAAACTAGCACTGAAACTTAAGCATCTAGCCCTAGGTCAGCGTAACCAAGTTGAACAATCTGGAAATTCCAGCTGCTGTTCCAGTTACTTCTGTCATTTGTGTCACTGTGAATAAAACATGGCATTTAAAATTTTATAATGTCATGATACTGAGTCTATACTAGTGGCGCTGCATAATGTTAAATATTTAAAAGAAAAATTACAAACCCAGGTTTAAGTAGTAAGGGGATTAACTACTAAAGATTATTTCTTGAAGATCGTTGATGGCAGTACCTGTGAAATAAATTGCCTTACTAACGTTTTCCTAGACAGTGCTGATTAGAGAAACTACAACGAAGGCTCTAAAGACCCATGGAACAGTAATTGACCATTAAGTTGTCACTGATTTAAACCACAATAAGTCAGACATACTGTATATTGACACACAAAGAGAAGGGTGACAGGAGGTTTCAGTAATGTATTTTAGAAAACTGTTCATTTTTTGCTAATGTTTATCTGAAAATAAGACATATAAAACAAAACAAGGAAGCATGGAGCACTGGGTCTTTTCATGCCCAGTATTCAGAAGTGAAGCTTTTCTTTCCCTTCATGATAGTTATTAACAAAGCATTGGTTTTCAGATGGTCCCAATCCTGTGATGAGGCACTTGAAGAGTCTGAAGGTTAGGGCATGTGAAATACGGAGCTGGAAGGAAGCATGCCGCTATTCCATTAGAAGCAAAAGGGAGTGTTGGCCCATAAAATACTTCTTCTTTGCCTTCTCTACTTACATCCACCACCTACAAAAGAAGGAAGCCTGTATGTCAAAGAAGATTGCCCAAAATGATGCTGTATACATATAAAAGGAGGCCTGCAGTTGAATTCAGTGATGTCACCATGACCATACATATCTTAGGCGTTAGTTCTTTTCCTCACAGTATGGTACCAGAAATATGTATTAAAGTCCAGGTAAGTGTTATTATATACATTTATATATTTGTGTGTCTATATAAGGTAAACAGATTTGAGGTAGGTAGGTTTATCTTCCTCTAATAAATACCAGATGGACCTGACATATACACAGAATATTCCATCCAAAAACAGTGGAATACACATTCTTTTCAAGTGTGCATGGAGTATTCTCTAGGATAGATCACATGTTAGGCCACAAAATAAATCTCAATATATTTAAGAAGACTGAAATTATATGAAATGTCTTTTCTTACCACAAGAGTACCTAGAAATAATTTATAAGAACTGGGAAGAAATGCAAACACAGGCTCCAGGAAACTCAAAGAAGTCAAAAAAATTCATGGAGAAAAAATGTAGATGAAAACATGGCACAAAATCTTTAACACACAGCAAAAGCAGTTCTAACGGAAATTTACAATAACCTCAAGCAACAAAAATCTCAACCTAACCTTATACCTAAAGGATGTAGAAAAAGAACAAAGCCAAAGGCAGTAAAAGGAAGGATAGAAGATTAGAGCTGAAGTAAACTAAAAGAAAAAAAAATCCATAAAAGCAAGAGTTGATTGATGAAAAGATAAGCAAAATTGATAAACCTTTGCCTAGACACATTAAGACCCAAATCTGAAATGAAGGAAGAGAAATCATTGAAACCACAGAAATACAAAGGGTTGCAAGAAACTACTATGAAAAATTATGTGCCAACAAATTGGAACAACCTAGAAATGGATAGATTCCTAGAAACCTACAATCTTCTAAAACTAAATCAGGGAGAAATAGAAAATATGGACTGATTATCCACTCAGTAACTGATAGTAATGAAATTGATAGTAATTACTAGTAATTATCAACTATCAATTTCATTACTAGTAATCAAAAAGCTACCAACAAAATTTAAGGACCACATGGCTTCATAGGTAAGTTCAACAAAGATAAGAAGAGTTAATACCTGTTCTCCTCAAACTACTGTAAAACCTTGGATTGTGAATAACTTGTTCTGTGAATTTTTGGCAAGACAAGCAAACATTTCTAGTAAATTTTAACTTGATAAGCAATGCCTTGCAATACTAGTAGTATGTGACACTGTATGTCACATGATCACAACTGAGCCAATGGTACTTAAAATCCGTTTTGATATACAAGTGCTTTGGATTACAAGCATGTTTCCCGAACGAATTATGCTTGCAAACCAAGGTTTTACTGTATTCCAAAAGATAGAAGAGGAAGAAAATTTCCAAATATATTCTACAAGGCCAGCAGGTATCCTGATACCAAAACCAGACAAAGGAACTACAAAAAGACCAAAAAACAAACAAAAACCCCAACCAATTTACAGGCCAGTATATCTGAAGAACGTACATACAAAAAAATGTAGAACAAAATATTAGGAAACTGAATTCAATACATTAAAAAAAATCATTTACCTTGATGAAGTGAGATTTCAGGAGTAAAAGGTGTTTCAGTATTCACAAATAGGTCAATGTCACATTGACCTAAGAGTAATGACTAAAAACCATATGGTCACCTCAGGAGACGGCAGAAAAAGCATTTGAGAAAATGCAACATCCATTCATGATAAAAACTCAACAAAGTGGGTTTAGAGAGACCATACCTCAACACAGTAAGCCATATATGAAAAGCCCACAGCCAACATCATACTGAAAGCTTTCCCTCTAAAGACCAGGAACAAGATGTGAAGGTCCTCTCTTACCACTTTAATTCAAATTAATACTCAACATCCTAACTGCAGCAATTAGACCAGATAAAGGAAAGACATCTAAATTGTTAAATAGACAGACGTATTCTTTTTTTCTCCACCAAAGAACAGGTAAGTGAATTCAGTAAAGTTGCATTATCCAAATTAATATACAGAAATGTGTTATATTTCTATTCACTAGTAATGAAGTAGCAGAAAGGGAAATTAGGAGAACAGTTCCATTGGAGAGTAGTTCAAGATGACCACTTAGGAAGACTATGAATAAAACTATTTGTAGAGCAATTCCTTCTGAAGGAGAAATGAGAACTGAGTGAACAGCTTCTGTACAAAAGATAGATCACATAACTACAAGAGAGAGGGGCTTATTAATAAAGAGAACCCACGTCCCAACACTGAACAGCAATGGAGAGGGATAGTACTAAAAGACTGTGATGGATCTGCCCTTGGGCACAGAAAGGTACAAATTAAAAGCAACTAGAATATAAAGGATCTAGCCCTATTACCCCCAAACAGCAGGAAAGCAGCTAGAACTCTGGACTAGAGGTGCTAGTGAACATAGTGGTTTTACATTCCCTCTCCACCATTACAGAATGGACAGGAATAGGGTCCAGGCACCCTAGCCAGCCTATGGACTCTGACCCCTGACCTCCAGCCCACATCAGACTGAGCTATCCAATTAAGTCAGCCTCCAGCACACCACACACCAAGACACCTCTGCTCAGTGCTCACTACAGTGATAGCCATCTTGCCAAGGTGACACCAGCACAAAGCACTATGGCACACTCCAGGTACACATTATTTTAGCTCCTAATGTCTTGCTATGTAGGACATCTCCAACTCGAGAGGGCTCTAGGACTTACCTGCACAGAGCATCTCAGGAACACCCTGTCTCAGCTATAGCCACCCCACCAAGGCATACCCTGCACCAAACACCGTGGGACAACCTAGCCCACAACATCCCATGAATTAAACATTCCAGAACACTCCAGCATGCACCCAGTTCAACTACAGCTCTCCTGTCAAGGCACCCACTGTATGGGGTGCCCCAGGATGCCCTGGACCACACTACACCTATCCAACTATCCCAGCAGGGTAGCCCCTCCTTAGGGTGCCCAGGACACTCCAGCCTGCAGCCCTCTTCACCTTCACCTAATCTGCCTGGGTGCCCTCCATGCAGAGAATGCTGGCACACTCTAGCTTGCATCTACTTTGGCTTAAGTTATCTGTCAGGGCAGCCCATAGAGGGGAGAGCCCCAGGATAACGTGGCCAGCATCAACTTCAGTTTCAGCTGTCTTGCCAGGGCACCCTCTGCATTGAGAGTTACATGAATACCTTAATCATGCCCACTTTAGCTATAGCTATGTCATCAGGAAGCCCCAGCACGGAGTGCCTCAGGACCACCAAGCTCATGCCAGCCACAACTCCAACCACCCAGTCACTGAACACAGTCTACACAGGAGATGATCATACACAAGACTATTCCATCAATTTTAGAAGCAGCTGTTTGGCCAAATTCATAAGAACACAAAGTCAGGCAATGTAAGGAGACAAATGAATATGCTCCAAATTAAAGAACAAGACAAATCCTCAGAAAATGAACTAGAAGAAATGGAGACAACCAATCTACTTGATGAAGAGTTCAAAGTAATGGTCATAAAGAAGCTCAACTAACTGGAGAGAAGAGTGGGAGATTTCACTGAAAATGTCATCACAGGGGTTCCTGGGGGGCTCGGTTGAGCATCTGACTTCAGCTCAGGTCATCATCTCACAGCTCATGGGTCTAAGCCCTGCATCAGGCTCTGTGCTGACAGCTCAGAGCCTGGAGCCTGCTTTGGATTCTGTATCTCTATCTCTCTGCCTCTCCCCCGCTTGTACTCTGTTTCTCTCAAAATAAACTTTTTTTTTTTTTAAATCAGAGTTGAGAATATAACTGAAATGAAATATACACTGGAAGGAATCAACAGTCTTTTTAAGTTATTTATTAATTTTGAGAGTGAGTGAGTGAGCCATGGAGGGGCAGAGGGAAAGATGGGGACAGGATCCAAAGCAGGCTGTGCACTGACAGCAGCAAGGCCAATGTGAGGCTCAAATTCATAAACCATGAGATCACGACCTAAGCTGAAGTCAGACGCTCAACTGACTAAGCCACCCAGGTATACCTCAACAGTATCTTTAAAATGACATATTAGGCCCATCTGTTCTAAGATATATATGGAACATTCCATCCAAAACCAAAAGATGACAGATTCTTTTCAAGTGCAAATGGGACATTCTCCAAAATAGATCATAAGTTAAAACCACAAGACTCAATAAATTTAAAGATTGAAATCATATCATGCATCTTTTCTGACCACAATGGTATGACACTAGAAATCAGTAACAGGAAAACAAAAATGGAAAACCAAAAACATGTGGAGGTTAAATAAAATTCTACTACATAAGCAATGGGTCCATGAAGTACACACAGAGAAAATGTTAATAATACTTGGAAACTAATGTAAATGAAAACAGAAGTCAAAAATCTTAGAACCACTTTCACAGTGTCTCAAAGAGGGAAATGTATAGTGCTATAGGACTACCTCAAGAATAAAAATCTCTGGGGTACCAAGGTGACTCAGTTGGTTAAGCATCCAAATTTGGCTCAGGCCATTAATCTGAGGTTCATGAGTTCACTCCTGCATCAGCTCTGTGCTGACAGCTCAGAGCCTGGAGCCTGCTTCAGATTCTGTGTCTCCCTCTCTCTTTGCCCCTTCCCTGTTCACACTCTTGCTCTCGCTCGCTCGCTCTCTCAAAAAAAAAAAAAAAATAATAATAATAATAAATTTGTAAATAAAAATCTCAATCTAAACTTACATCTAAAGTAAGTAGAAAAAGAAGAGCAAATCACAATGTTAGTAGAAGGAAGGAAATAATAAAGATCAGAGCATGTATAAATGAAGTAGACTAAGAAAAAATAGAAAAGATCAACAAAGCCAAGAACGAGTTCTTGAAAAGATAAACAAAATTGATAGAAAATTAGACCTATCAAGAATAAAAGGAAAGAGGACACAAATAGAATAGGCAATGAAAGAGAAGTAGGGGCACCTGGGTGGCTCAGTCAGTTGAGCATCCAA